CACAGCAATCAGCCTGGAGCCTCACTGCTCTCCCACCCACCCTCTGAAACCTCTCCCCCTCTCTCCCCCCTCTCTCCCCTCCCCCACTCTCCCCCTGCCCCCCTCTCTCCCCTCTCTGCTCTCACACTCTCTACCCTCTCCCCTCCCTCCCCTCCCCACTCTCTCCCCTTTCCCCCCTCGCCTCTTGTCAGGAGGTTGTGGGTTCAAGCCCCCAGTGCTGGGGGGTGAGAGAGCATCACATTAATGGAGACGCTGTTTCAGAAGAGATGTGAAACTGTTCAGGTGGAAGATAAAGATCCTATTAGAAAAGAGAAGGTGGTTCCCGGCTCACCGTCCCCAGATACAATCACTCGCTCATTTTATAGCTGTGCGCAAGTTGGCTGCCATGTTCGACCACAAAACACACAGTCACTACACTTCACAGTAAACCCTGTGAAGCGCTTTGAGACATTGTGATGACTTATCCCGCCTGCAGGTGTGTGTGTCCGGTGTCGGGGGGGATTGTCCTGCGACAGCTCACGCGTGGCGGGGGCCAGTTATTCTGTCTCACGCTGAGGCCCCCACACCGTACGTGTGACACCCCTGATTAACCCCTTCAGTCCCTGCTCCGAGGTGGCTGCTCCCCGTTCAGGCGCGCGATAAAAGATCCTGCGGTGCTACTGAATGAGAGAAGGGAGTATCTCTGTGGCTCCCGGTGTCCTGCCCAACAATCCCCTCCCGTGACACTGGGTGGTGCGGTGACTGTGTTGGGGCCGCGGCTCTCACAGCCGTGTTGAGCAATGTGGGAAGTTCTAGCAGAATTCCCGGCTGACTGTCCCTGATCTCGGCTTCACAGAGACACCTGTTCCCCTACCACAGCCGCCTGGCCGACTACCAGATGGAGAAGAAAATCGGCCGGGGGCAGTTCAGCGAGGTTTACCGGGCAACCTGCCTGCGGGATGGCAAAGCCGTGGCTTTAAAGAAGGTTCAGGTTTGTTCATTTCTTGCTGTCTAACAACAACAACAACAACAACAATGTAACAACAACAGTGTAACATCATCTTTGATAACAACAATAACTTAATAGCATCAACAACTGACCAACAACCGAGTCCTGTAGCTCAGTGGTTAGAGCATTCGCTTTGCAAGTGAGAGACCTGAGTTCAATTCCAGGCAGAGGGCGAAACCTCGGGCAAGTTTCCTTACTCCACACAGAGCCTAATAATAATCCCTCCAAAACCAAAAACAATAATAAATTGGTCATTTTCAATCTACGACTGTTTGTGGGACATTGCTGTGCGCAATTGGCTGCCGCGTTCACCCACAAATATACAGTCAATTCACTTTACAGTGTGTTCTGTGAAGCGCTTTGGGACGTCCTCCCGACGTGAAAAGCGCTATATCAAATGCGAGGATTATTATTGTTATTATAACAACAACAATATCTGACCCCCTCTGTGTTATCTGTTTCTCTTTTGTATTCTCAGTTATTTGAAATGTTGGATGCCAAAGCGCGTCAGGACTGTATCAAGGAGATTGACTTGTTAAAGGTGAGCAGGCGGGAGAGGGGTGGGGGGAGCACTGAATTGTGAATTAACATTTCTGTGTTTCTCTCTCTTGTTCTCTCCCTCTTCCCTCCCTCTCTCTTTCTCTTACCTCTCTCCCTCTCTCTTACTCGCTCTATCTCCCCCCGCTCTCTCTCTCATTCTTTTTCTCTCCCTCTCCCTTTCCCCCTCTCCCACTCTCCAGCTCTATCTCTCTGTGGAGCCACTTACTATGGGCGACATGATGGGTGTCCCAGGGTGTGTTAATCGGCCCGGAGACGGGGACACAGCTTCCATTCCCCCCACACACACAGCGAGGTTAAGCCAGGGGTGAAAGGTCAGAGCTGTACCCCGACTCTAACCCACTGCACCCCCCCAGCCCCGAGACTATCAATTCTTTGTTACAGCTTCTTCTGGTTTAGGTCTTGAATCACAATCACGAGACGAAAGGAGACCAAGATCCATCCAGTTCACCTTCCACCATCCTGGCAGTCGCTGGCACACGTCATGTCCAAACTCTCTCTGTATATATCCACTGCAGTGTTGGGGGGCAGCGCAGTGTTGGGGGCAGCGCAGTGTTGGGGAGCAGTGCAGTGTTGGGGAGCAGCGCAGTGTGGGGGAGCAGCGCAGTGTGGGGGAGCAGCGCAGTGTGGGGGAGCAGTGCAGTGTTGGGGGAGCAGCGCAGTGTTGGGGGAGCAGCGCAGTGATGGGGGAGCAGCGCAGTGTTGGGGGAGCAGCGCAGTGTGGGGGAGCAGCGCAGTGCAGTGTGGGGGAGCAGCGCAGTGTTGGGGGCAGTGCAGTGTGGGGGAGCAGCGCAGTGTTGGGGGCAGTGCAGTGTTGGGGGGCAGTGCAGTGTTGGGGAGCAGCGCAGTGTGGGGGAGCAGCGCAGTGTGGGGGAGCAGCGCAGTGCAGTGTTGGGGGGCAGTGCAGTGTTGGGGAGCAGCGCAGTGCAGTGTTGGGGGAGCAGCGCAGTGTTGGGGAGCAGTGCAGTGTTGGGGAGCAGCGCAGTGTGGGGGAGCAGCGCAGCGCAGTGTGGGGGGTGTTGTGCTGTGGGTGATGTTGAGCTGCGCTCCTGTCTGTGTCCCTCAGGGTCGATGTTAATGATTCCAGATCAGTGGTAATAATAATTACTTCATAATAATTACTCAAATGAAACCCATCACTAACTGTTACCTCTTAAGCTTCACTCACTCTCACTGACACTGGGTCACACTCACTGGCTTACACTTATGCACACTTTGCTCACACCCACACACTCGCCCTCACTCTCTCACACTCACACTCACACTCGCTCACACTCACCTCGTACAGCAGACAGCCGAGGGACCAGATGTCTGATTTGAAGTTGTAGCCGTTCTCGTGGATCCTCTCTGGTGACATGTAATACGGAGTTCCCACTGCAACCGCCAAACACACACATCAGCCTCTGTGCCGCTGCAGAGCCCCAGCGCAGCGCAGCGCAGCGCAGCGCAGCCTGACACACATGCTCTGTGTGTGAGCCACGCTTTCCCACAGCCGGCATCTCCCCCCCTCACGCCCCGCCCTTCCTCCCCCCACAACCCTCGCTCCCCACTCATTTACCCCCACTCCCGCCTCGTTCCCCCCCACACCCCTCGCTCCCAACCTGGCCTCCCCCGCACCCCCACCCGCTGCTCACCGAGTGAATGAGCGGCTGTTGTGTTGGAGCTGAAGAAGCGGCCGAGCCCCAAGTCTCCCAACTTCACAGCCCCGGTCGCTGTGATAAACACATTCGCCGGTTTGATATCTGAACAGAGACACTGTCAGGGCCTGTGTAACACACTGCGTCACTGCTCCGCGCTGTACTGCGCTGTGTAACACACTGCGTCACTGCTCCGCGCTGTACTGTGCTGTGTAACACACTGCGTCACTGCTCCGCGCTGTACTGTGCTGTGTAACACACTGCGTCACTGCTCCGCGCTGTACTGTGCTGTGTAACACACTGCGTCACTGCTCCGCGCTGTACTTCGCTGTGTAACACACTGCGTCACTGCTCCGCGCTGTACTGCGCTGTGTAACACACTGCGTCACTGCTCCGCGCTGTACTGCGCTGTGTAACACACTGCGTCACTGCTCCGCGCTGTACTGCGCTGTGTAACACACTGCGTCACTGCTCCGCGCTGTACTGCGCTGTGTAACACACTGCGTCACTGCTCCGCGCTGTACTGCGCTGTGTAACACACTGCGTCACTGCTCCGCGCTGTACTGTGCTGTGTAACACACTGCGTCACTGCTCCGCGCTGTACTGTGCTGTCTAACACACTGCGTCACTGCTCCGCGCTGTACTGCGCTGTGTAACACACTGCGTCACTGCTCCGCGCTGTACTGTGCTGTGTAACACACTGCGTCACTGCTCCGCGCTGTACTGTGCTGTGTAACACACTGCGTCACTGCTCCGCGCTGTACTGTGCTGTGTAACACACTGCGTCACTGCTCCGCGCTGTACTGTGCTGTGTAACACACTGCGCCACTGCTCCGCGCTGTACTGCGCTGTGTAACACACTGCGTCACTGCTCCGCGCTGTACTGCGCTGTGTAACACACTGCGTCACTGCTCCGCGCTGTACTGTGCTGTGTAACACACTGCGTCACTGCTCCGCGCTGTACTGTGCTGTGTAATGCAGTGCTTCACTGCTTTGGTGCTCCGCTGTGATGTGTCAGGCGGTGTGTGTGTGTGTCAGGCGGTGTGTGTGTGTGTCAGGCGGTGTGTGTGTGTGTCAGGCGGTGTGTGTGTGTGTCAGGCGGTGTGTGTCAGGCGGTGTGTGTGTGTGTCAGGCGGTGTGTGTCAGGCGGTGTGTGTGTGTCAGGCGGTGTGTGTGTGTGTGTCAGGCGGTGTGTGTCAGGCGGTGTGTGTCAGGCGGTGTGTGTGTGTCAGGCGGTGTGTGTGTGTATCAGGCGGTGTGTGTCAGGCGGTGTGTGTCAGGCGGTGTGTGTGTGTGTCAGGCGGTGTGTGTCAGGCGGTGTGTGTGTGTGTCGCGGTGTGTGTCAGGCGGTGTGTGTGTGTGTCGCGGTGTGTGTCGGGCGGTGGGTGTGTGTCAGGCGGTGTGTGTGTGTGTGTCAGGCGGTGTGTGTGTGTGTCGCGGTGTGTGTCAGGCGGTGTGTGTCAGGTGGTGTGTGTGTGTCAGGCGGTGTGTGTGTGTGTGTCAGGCGGTGTGTGTCAGGCGGTGTGTGTGTTTGTCAGGCGGTGTGTGTCAGGCGGTGTGTGTCAGGCGGTGTGTGTGTGTGTCAGGCGGTGTGTGTGTGTGTCAGGCGGTGTCGGTGTGTGTGTCAGGCGGTGTGTGTGTGTGTCAGGCGGTGGGTGTCAGGCGGTGTGTGTGTGTGTCAGGCGGTGTGTGTGTGTGTGTCAGGCGGTGTGTGTGTGTGTGTCAGGCGGTGTGTGTGTGTGTCAGGCGGTGTGTGTGTGTGTCAGGCGGTGGGTGTCGGGCGGTGGTGGAGGTCTCACCTCTGTGCATTACTCTGCGGGAGTGCATGTGCTCCACACCACAGCAAAGCTGCACAAAGTATTTCCATATTGTCCGCTCAGGGATCAGTCGCTGCTGTTTCTTAAAATACTGAAACAGTGAAGAGGAGAATCAGTCCCTGACCATCACCCCCGGCCCCAGCACAGCCCCAGCACAGCCCCAGCACAGCCCCAGCACAGCCCCAGCACAGCCCAGCACAGCCCAGCACAGCCCCAGCACAGCCCCAGCACAGCCCCAGCCCCGCACAGCCCCAGCACAGCCCAGCACAGCCCCAGCCCAGCACAGCCCAGCACAGCCCCAGCACAGCCCCAGCACAGCCCCAACCCCAGCAGCACAGCCCCAGCACAGCCCCAACCCCAGCACAGCCCCAGCACAGCCCCAGCACAGCCCCAACCCCCAGCACAGCCCCAGCACAGCCCAGCACAGCCCCAGCACAGCCCAGCACAGCCCAGCACAGCCCCAGCACAGCCCCAGCACAGCCCCAGCACAGCCCCAACCCCCAGCACAGCCCCAGCCCCAGCACAGCCCCAACCCCAGCACAGCCCCAACCCCCAGCACAGCCCCAGCACAGCCCCAGCACAGCCCCAACCCCCAGCACAGCCCCAGCACAGCCCCAGCACAGCCCCACCCCCAGCACAGCCCCAGCACAGCCCCAGCCCAGCACAGCCCAGCCCCAGCACAGCCCCAGCACAGCCCAGCACAGCCCCAACCCCCAGCACAGCCCCAGCACAGCCCCAGCACAGCCCCAACCCCCAGCACAGCCCCAGCACAGCCCCAGCACAGCCCCAACCCCCAGCACAGCCCCAGCACAGCCCCAACCCCCAGCACAGCCCCAGCACAGCCCCAGCCCAGCACAGCCCCAACCCCCAGCACAGCCCCAGCACAGCCCCAGCACAGCCCCAACCCCCAGCACAGCCCCAGCACAGCCCCAAACCCCCAGCACAGCCCCAGCACAGCCCAGCACAGCCCCAGCCCCAGCACAGCCCCAGCACAGCACAGCCCCAACCCCCAGCACAGCCCCAGCACAGCCCAACCCCAGCACAGCCCCAACCCCAACACAGCCCCAACCCCCAGCACAGCCCCAACCCCCAGCACAGCCCCAACACACCCCAGCACAGCACAGCCCAACCCCAGCCCCAACCCAGCACAGCCCCAACACAGCCCCAACCCCAGCACAGCCCCAGCACAGCACGCCCAACCCCAGCACAGCCCAGCACAGCCCCACCCCAGCACAGCCCCAGCACAGCCCAACCCCCAGCACAGCCCCAGCAAGCCCCAGCACAGCCCAACCCCCAGCACAGCCCCAGCACGCCCCAGCACAGCCCCCCCCAGCACAGCCCAGCACAGCCCAACCCCCAGCACAGCCCCAGCACAGCCCCAGCACAGACCCAGCACAGCCCCAACACCCAGCACAGCCCAGCACAGCCCAACCCCCAGCACAGGCCCAGCACAGCCCCACCCCCAGCACAGCCCCAACCCCCAGCACAGCCCCACGCTGCTCCCCAACACTGCGCTGCCCCCAACACTGCGCTGCTCCCCAACACTGCGCTGCCCCCCAACACTGCACTGCGCTGCTCCCCAACACTGCGCTGCGCTGCTCCCCAACACTGCACTGCTCCCCAACACTGCGCTGCTCCCCAACACTGCGCTGCCCCCCCACACTGCACTGCGCTGCTCCCCAACACTGCGCTGCGCTGCTCCCCAACACTGCGCTGCTCCCCAACACTGGGCTGCTCCCCAACACTGCGCTGCTCCCCAACACTGCGCTGCGCTGCCCCCCAACACTGCGCTGCGCTGCTCCCCAACACTGCGCTGCTCCCCAACACTGCACTGCGCTGCTCCCCAACACTGCGCTGCCCCCTAACATTGCGCTGCCCCCCAACACTGCGCTGCTCCCCAACACTGCGCTGCCCCCAACACTGCGCTGCTCCCCAACACTGCGCTGCTCCCCAACACTGTGCTGCCCCCCAACACTGCGCTGCTTGCTCCCCAACACTGCGCTGCTCCCCAACACTGCACTGCGCTGCTCCCCAACACTGCACTGCGCTGCTCCCCAACACTGCGCTGCCCCCCAACACTGCGCTGCCCCCCAACACTGCGCTGCTCCCCAACACTGCGCTGCCCCCAACACTGCGCTGCCCCCCAACACTGCGCTGCTCCCCAACACTGCGCTGCCCCCAACACTGCGCTGCTCCCCAACACTGCGCTGCCCCCCCACACTGCACTGCGCTGCTCCCCAACACTGCGCTGCGCTGCTCCCCAACACTGCGCTGCGCTGCCCCCCAACACTGCGCTGCTCCCCAACACTGCACTGCGCTGCTCCCCAACACTGCGCTGCCCCTAACACTGCGCTGCCCCCCAACACTGCGCTGCTCCCCAACACTGCGCTGCCCCCCAACACTGCGCTGCTCCCCAACACTGCGCTGCTCCCCAACACTGTGCTGCCCCCCAACACTGCGCTGCTCCCCAACACTGCGCTGCTCCCCAACACTGCACTGCGCTGCTCCCCAACACTGCACTGCGCTGCTCCCCAACACTGCGCTGCCCCCAACACTGCGCTGCCCCCCAACACTGCGCTGCTCCCCAACACTGCGCTGCTCCCCAACACTGTGCTGCCCCCCAACACTGCGCTGCTCCCCAACACTGCGCTGCTCCCCAACACTGCACTGCGCTGCTCCCCAACACTGCACTGCGCTGCTCCCCAACACTGCGCTGCCCCCAACACTGCGCTGCCCCCCAACACTGCGCTGCTCCCCAACACTGCGCTGCCCCCCAACACTGCGCTGCCCCCCAACACTGCGCTGCTCCCCAACACTGCGCTGCCCCCCAACACTGCGCTGCTCCCCAACACTGCGCTGCCCCCCACACTGCACTGCGCTGCTCCCCAACACTGCGCTGCGCTGCTCCCAACACTGCGCTGCGCTGCCCCCAACACTGCGCTGCTCCCCAACACTGCACTGCGCTGCTCCCCAACACTGCGCTGCCCCCTAACACTGCGCTGCCCCCAACACTGCGCTGCTCCCCAACACTGCGCTGCCCCCCAACACTGCGCTGCTCCCCAACACTGCGCTGCTCCCCAACACTGTGCTGCCCCCAACACTGCGCTGCTCCCCAACACTGCGCTGCTCCCCAACACTGCACTGCGCTGCTCCCCAACACTGCACTGCGCTGCTCCCCAACACTGCGCTGCCCCCCAACACTGCGCTGCCCCCCAACACTGCGCTGCTCCCCAACACTGCGCTGCCCCCCAACACTGCGCTGCTCCCCAACACTGCGCTGCCCCCCCACACTGCACTGCGCTGCTCCCCAACACTGCGCTGCACTGCTCCCCAACACTGCACTGCTCCCCAACACTGCACTGCGCTGCTCCCCAACACTGCGCTGCGCTGCTCCCCAACACTGCACTGCTCCCCAACACTGCACTGCTCCCCAACACTGCACTGCGCTGCTCCCCAACTCTGCGCTGCTCCCCAACACTGCACTGCTCCCCCAACACTGCACTGCTCTCCCAACACTGCACTGCTCCCCCAACACTGCGCTGCTCCCCCAACACTGCACTGTGCTGCTCCCTCAACACTGCGCTGCTCCCCCAACACTGCGCTGCTCCCCATCACTGCACTGCGCTGCTCTCCCAACACTGCGCTGCTCCCCCAACACTGCGCTGCTCCCCCAACACTGCACTGCTCCCCAACACTGCACTGCGCTGCTCCCCAACACTGCACTGCTCCCCCAACACTGCGCTGCTCCCCCAACACTGCGCTGCTCCCCCAACACTGCGCTGCTCCCCCAACACTGCGCTGCTCCCCCAACACTGCGCTGTGCTGCTCCCTCAACACTGCGCTGCTCCCCCAACACTGCACTGCTCCCCATCACTGCACTGCGCTGCTCTCCCAACACTGCGCTGCTCCCCCAACACTGCGCTGCTCCCCCAACACTGCGCTGCTCCCCAACACTGCACTGCGCTGCTCTCCCAACACTGCACTGCGCTGCTCCCCTAACATTGCACTGCTCCCCCAACACTGCTCCCCCACACTGCGCTGCGCTGCTCCCCCAATACTGCACTGCTCCCCCAACACTGCACTGTGCTGCTCCCCCAACACTGCGCTGCTCCCCCACACTGCGCTGCACTGCTCCCCCTGCACTGAGCTGCACTGCGCTGGACACTCAGTGTAAGGATAGGAACACAAGGGTTTGAGTTTGAATTGTTATCGCTGTTCCCTCCTCACAGATGGCCGCCCTCCAGAGTCCGTTTTATGGGGATAAGATGAACCTTTTTACTCTGTGTAAAAAGATTGAGCAATGTGATTACCCCCCACTCCCCACACAGCACTGCTCCGAAAAGGTAAGAGCGACGCAGGACGCAGAGGGCAAGGGGGTGGGGGAGGGATCGCTTTCCTGGTGTAATAAGCCCTCCGTCCCCCACAAAAATGTGTTCACTCAATCCACGACTGTTTGTGGGGACGCTGCTGGGCACAATTGACTGTTGCGTTTCGCCCACAAAATACAGTCACTACACTTTACAGTCAATTCTGTGAAATGCCTTAGATGTGATAAGGCACTATATCAAATGCAAGGATTACTCTTAAGTGTGGTGACTGTGTGTTTGTGGCTGAACGTGTCAGACAGTTTTAAGCACAGTAACCTATGAAGTGACTGACCAATTTGAGGGGTGGGGAGGGGGGGTTGTCAGCCAACAACCCAGAGAGAAACTCCCTTGACTTTTCAAACACACCCCAAGGTCCATCGATTCGGCCGTCTACCATCCTGGTCGTCACAGGCTACAATTATGGAAATGTTGATAGCAATTAATTCTGTGTGGATTAGTCTCCAACACAGTGGGAAGCTTTGGGATCCTGGGATCTAATGCTGATGGCATTGGTTTGAGTGGGTCAGACATTCGCAGCCTCTCTCTGCCTCGAGACACTGTGTTCCGTTTCCTCCGCTTGATTCTGTGGGAAACTCCGAGACCCTGACTCCTGAATGCTTGATCCTCGCCTCTCATTAACACTTCCTCCTCCCAACCTTCCCAGGCTCCGGCTTTACTGCAGAGCTGTGTTATCATGTTGCTGTAATTCCCCCCGGAGATCAGGGAGAGCGAGCAAAGCTCTTTGTATAATCTCGCCTCCGCCTCCCGTGTCTCCCTCTCTACAATCTTCTCACCAGCTCAGACCCGTGGCCTCTGGCCTCCAACTTCGCTTATATTTTCATTTCAGTTTCCCGATGCTGTGAGTCCAGCGACACACAATACAATTTATCATCATGTTAACCATCGCCACATGACGCCTTATCATGCCTTGGAGACGCCTCAAAGCGCTTCTCCAGATTTACCACACCGTGTCGTGACTGTCCGCCAACCGATTTGTGCACAGGGACGTCACACAAACAGCCGTGAGTGCAGGGCCTTTAGTGTGGGGAGGATGTCCAAAACCACCTGACGATCGTGACAGTACTTCACGCTGGATAAGTCTCTCCAAACCCGTTCTCCACTGCAGAATGCACAGTCAACAACAACAGATTACACTTGTGTAGCGCCTTTCACATTGGGAGGACGTCCCAAAGCCCGGGACGTTACAGTGAAAGCCACGAACTATAGCAGGTTCCATGATAATGAAGACAGAGATTCCCCTGGAGGCTGTTGGGCTCTCACTCCCCTCCGGTCTCAGGCTGAGAAATCCCCTGAATCCACAGGCCCCGGCAGTGCTGATCGGGCGGCTAATTATCAGCCTGGCTCTGCTCAGCGACTGACAGGACCTCGGCCGTTTGCAAACCCGTGTGGTCTTTAAAAATTATTTCTTGAATGTTTAATATGCGGAGTCTGAGGCTCGTCTAGAGGTTGGGCAGAGGGTGTGTGTGGTGCAGGCAATAATTATTTAAGCGTTGGTGTCTCTGGGACGCTGCCCTGCGCGAGGACTGCTATGTAAATGCAAGTTGTTATTGTAAAGCACCGCTGTAACCACATCACTCTCTCTCTCCGCAGCTCCGGCAGCTGGTCAGCATGTGCATTAACCCCGAACCCTCCCTGCGGCCAGACAGCAGCTACATGCACCAGATCGCACGGCAGATGCACAGCCGGACGTCGAGCACCTGACCTGCGCGGCTCCTCACACGCTGACACTGGGGGGTGAGCAGCCACACAGCCCCCCCACCCTCTCAGGCTGGTGAGCGAGTGAGCGAGCGCTGCTGCTGTCGGGAGTGAACCATCGCCTGGGCACGGCCTCGCCGCAAAATAGATTATTAGCTACTGTTAGAGACAGGATTCACGTTCCATCACTTGTCCACGAGTGGAGAAGAGGATTGATCGTCTCCGAGTCTGGTTACATTTTTGAAACTGTTGTTTTATATCGTCCTTGTTTCATACTTATTCTGTCTTAAAACTGAGACGTGATGGAAACAAACTGCATCCATGGTGCAGGACTTGGATAAGATGTGGGCAGAGATATACACACACAAGACACACATACATACATATACACACACACACGCAAACACAGTGGTATTAAATGTGTAACGGTCAGTATGATGGGACGGGAATTGACGGGGCTGCTCCCTGACTCTCGCTGGTTCATGTTCAGCGTTCCCCGGAGTGGAGCGGGGTGGGGTGGTAGGGTGGGGTGGGGTGGATAGGGAGGAATTTAAAGGGAAAATGAACAACATTCCCACAAATTATACAAGACCCAGAACACATTGTGGGCAACAGTCACCTCCCCACTCCCTTTCCCTCCACTTGGTACAGCCACAACTCTCCCCCCCCCCCGAACTGCACACACAGAGCCACAATCTTCCGACTGTTTAAAACTCGACTGTGAAAAGTTTGTCAAAAATGTGATTGATTTCCTGTGTAAACGCGAGGTATATTTTTGGAGATCAGGGAACAGATTACCTGCCGGTGTAAAACCTGCTGCTCAGCCACACGGTGTGACAGAGCGGTTTTGTGGGTCAGCACTCTGGTGACTTCCAGAGGAACGAGAGCCCAGGGACCCGCACGGACTCAACATCAGCCACCGATACAAGAGCCGGGTTCGAGTCCTGTTATTTATGTGTTTTTTTGTTATTCTCTGGACTTTTAAAATATACACATTTGACATGGATTGAATTGCTGACGGTTGCCACAGCAACACGGTGTGTAAAGAAACTGTAAGAGGAGAATGTTATTTAACGTGTTTTGACGCCGTCACAAAGATGACCAATTAAAATTGATGGATTTAAGTCGATTTAAGTTTTTTTTTTAAGGAACACAACAGGCTGTGCACGGGATTTAAAACTCACCGGGTTTAACCACACGCTTTGTGACTACAGTGATACTGACTCACAACCACCAACTCGGGAGTAGGGAAAGTTTTAATTGAAACGCTTGTTCATTGGCTGTGGGGTTGTGAAGGAACCAGTTACCCCAGTCCTGTAGCTCAGTGGTTGGAGCACTCGCCTCGCAAGCGAGAGACCTGGGTTCGATTCCCGGGCAGGGCGAAACGTTAGGCAAGTTTCCTTACCCCACACGCCTCTGTTTACCCAACAGTAAGCAGGAACCCAGTTGTCAGGTCACTTTGCCGAGGGTAATGTTCACATGTTCCTGTACCGGCCAAACCTCCAGCGGGAACAGGCAGAGGAAGAGATTTTTTAAATTTTAAAAAAACTCAAATCGTAAACGTCAAAGAAATCTTAGGGAGACAAAAGTTTTATTTGTAAAAACGGAACAGATGTTTAATTTAACAACTTGTTTAACAACCGGTGCCACTTACATCAGTGCCCGCTCACGACTATTAGACTATGAGATATGGGGGCCTGCAGGTCCAGCTGACACGCTGTGTTCTCAGGAGGTGTCCATCGTAAGCACAGCCTCATCCACCACATCCACCGGCAGCCGAATGACGGACTCCATCAGATAGCCTGTCGTCCCACGCTTGTACTTGTAGCTGCCTTGTCTGGTGGAGCACAAACAATAACAACGGGTCACAGCGAAGAAACACACCCGCCATGACTGCTCCCTGCCTCAGCGATCTGCAAGCAGCTTGTCCTGATCTTAGTGATCGCGGAATTTGGAAAGGGAGAGAGAGAGAGAAAAAAAATGGGGGGAGAGAGAGAAAGTGGGAGGGGAAAAGAGAGAGAGAAAAGAATGGAGAGGGGAAAAGAGAGAGGAGGGGATGGGGGAAGGAAGAGAAAAAACGAAGGGAAGAGAGAGAGGGGACAGAGAGGGGGGCAGGGGATGGGGGAGAGAAACCTGACCAATGGCCAAACTTTTCCGCAGGCCAGTGACCCCCCCCCCCCAGCCCCTGCTACCCAGTGGCCTGTGAGGACCCACTGCTTTGGTGCTACACAGCGGACACTAAGCCGTTGATACCGGCTTACGAGTGAGGTGAGGGGCTGGCACACAGATCTGCCCACGGTGCTGCAGGGCTGGGAGGTGATGAGGAGGGAAATGAACAGGAAGAGGATTCAGGCCGGTGACTGCTGCACACACGTGTAATTAATATCCACACCAATAGGTTTATTTCCCTTCATTATATGTTAATCACATTGTTCTCTTCTCGCTGAACATGTGAAACCCTCTGGTCAGCATCATTAAGAAGCTAATTATCTTTCCCCAACCACACAAAGCCAGCTGGCAGTGAGCGCTCGCACTCCGCACAGAGCCAGAGCAGCGGGATCACTCCAGGAGAGTCGTCAAGATTGAGTGAGGCTTGTTGGGGGGGGCCGAGGAGGGGGTCTTAGCCCAGTCCAGGGGGTGGTGGGTGGGGGGGGTTATAGCACACGAGGCAACACCCCCTGTTATCATCCAGAAAAGGCGGGTTTTATAAAACTACAAACCAAGCCGGGGGGTGGGGGCAGAGTGAAGGCAGAGGAGGAGACGGGGGAGACCAACGGCAAGAGGTGTGAAGGAATCATTACAAGGGAATTAAAGGTGGACTTCAGAGCTCTGCATGTGACCAGAACCGAGGTGAAGTCAAAGGGCTCCGAGTTGAGGCAGATCCACACGGCTCATCACCAAGATTAAGCACAGCCTCAGCCACATGACAGTCAACGGCTGTAGCTCGGCTCCGAGCAGCAAACAGCACTCACCGTGTGCACACGCGAGCTCGAGCAGCAAACACAAACAGCACTCACCGTGCGCACACGCGAGCTCGAGCAGCAAACACAAACAGCACTCACCGTGCGCACACGCGAGCTCGAGCAGCAAACACAAACAGCACTCACCGTGCGCACACGCGAGCTCGAGCAGCAAACACAAACAGCACTCACCGTGCGCACACGCGAGCTCGAGCAGCAAACACAAACAGCACTCACCGTGCGCACACGCGAGCTCGAGCAGCAAACACAAACAGCACTCACCGTGCGCACACGCGAGCTCGAGCAGCAAACACAAACAGCACTCACCGTGCGCACACGCGAGCTCGAGCAGCAAACACAAACAGCACTCACCGCACGCCTTTCTTGTTGGCCACCTCGTGAGGCCGCACGTAGTCCAGCTGGTCCTTCTTGATGACACACAGGTCCACGTTACTCCCTGACCCCAGGTCATTGAATATCCCGGCAGCAATGGCGTCTCGCACTAGCTGCTTGGCCTCACTCTCCTGGTGGTGAACAACAAATCATTTAAAAGCACAAAACGCACTTTTACAGGAGTGCCTTTCTTCTCAGGAGGACGTCTCACACTGTAGCTGGGAACCCGAGCTGGGGGCTGAGGGAGGCTGAGGGGGAGATGACCGAAAATGTGGTGAAAGAGGCATGTGGTGAGCTACGTTAGCAATGTAACATGTGAAAGGAGAACGTTCTGTAACTCGAGCATCGAGTTAACACCCACAGTCAGTGGTAAACACTCGATCAGTGAGAAGCTCCAAGTCACAAGGTTGGAGCTTTGAGCTCACATCTGGGCTGACACTTCTGTTCAGTGTTGGGGGGGAAAGGCGGGGAAAGATAAAGACCCTGCAATGTGGAGATGCCGCCCTTCACTGAGACGTTAAACTGAGCGCTGTGTCTGTTCCAGTGAAAGATTCAATTACATCATTTGAAAAGAAAAGGGAGTTTCTATCTCTCTCCCTGTGTCCTGGCCGACAATTCCCCAAATAAAAAGAGTTGGAGTCCTGTAGCTCAGTGGTTACAGCACTCGCGTCACAAGCGAGAGACGTTGGTTTGATTCCTGGCAGGGCAAAATGTTGCGGCAAGTTTCCTTGCTCCACGCGTCTCTGTTCACCTAGCAGTAAGATGGAACCCTGTTGTTAGTTGATTGGCAGATTGATTTTCTGGGGATAATGATCCCTTCAAAAATAAATAATAATAATAAATTGGTCACTCAATCCACAACTGTTTGTGGGATACTGCTGTGCCCAATTGGCTCCTTTAATTCGCCCACAAACACACAGTCAATTCACTTTAGAGTACATTTTGTGAAACGCTTTGAGACGTCCAAACGATGTCAAATGCAAGGATTATTATATTCACTCTGTATATCCCACCCTGTTTGTGGGACGTGGCTTTGCACAAACTGGCTGCTGCATTCGACTACAAATACGCAGTCATCACACCTTACAGGAAGCTCAGAAGCACTCTGAGTCATTTTGACTTACGGCTCTGTACAAAACCCAAGGATTATTTATCATTTATCTATGGAACAATAAGGCTTGTGAAACGCTGAACCAAAGCTCCCTCTGCTGTGCCAGTGAGAAACGGCAGCTGCTCACACAACCAGCGCCGTTTAGACAATATTTACAGCCGAAGCAAACAGTAAAATCTACAAGTTTTAGAACTTGTGGATTCAATGGCCTATTCAGAGTGAAACAAGGGGGTGGTATTGGAGTTTCTCTCCCGGCACCTGGCTGACATTTCACATGGCTGTTTTGTGGGGCGTTACTGTGTTCAAAATTGGCTGCTGCGTTTGTCTACAATCATTGCATTTTATAGTGAATCCTGTGAAGCGCTTTACAATCAAAAGTGTGTATAGAATGCAAGGACCTTATTTCAAGTACAGTTGGATCTGAGTCAGACGCATGTAGGGAAATTTACACACACTCCATCCAACCCACAGACATTTCAGCACTTTTCCAATTACTGGCGTCAGGAGAAAACAAAACCAATTTGAAACTTTTCAGCCAGTCAGAACCTTTAAATTGGATAACGTTAAATATCATAATATCCAAATTGTTTAATTTAGGTTTGTGGGTCTCTGTGTGAATAAGCGGGGGGGGGGGGGGGGGGAGAGAGGGAAAGTGGTAGAGAGAGAGAGAGAGAGAGAGATAGACATAGAGAAGAGAAAGAAAAAGGTTGATGGTTCATGTTTCCCAAAAATGTTTCTTCCTTGAGGTGCAGCAGAGATTTGGTTTTAAAACCAACAACGTTAATTGGGCAGATTGGCTTAACATTATTTCCCCCCAAAATACACAGTCAATTCACTTTACGGTATATACTGTGAAACACTTAGACATCTCAACGACGTGATAAGGTGCTGTATCAAATGCATATATTAATAAAATACTCCGACTGTTTGTTTATTTCTCAAAAACAAGCTAATAAATTACCTCATGGTATTGCGCACAAAAACCCGAAACACCACATTATTTCAGTTTTTAAAAGAAAAGGTAATTAATGTTAAAAAGAGAGAGGGGGTACGTACAATATCCTACCCTCAGCAGGTCAGAGCCCATTCCCCTGAGCCACAGCAGTTTATTTTAAAGGAGCCTGCACAGAACGCAGCTACCAACCACAAGTCATGATGTGACGAGCAGCCTTTAGAACTATCTGTTTACCTCCATCAGACCATCACACAATGTGTCCCTGGGCTCCCATGTGCAGCTCCATTTACTGCCAGATGACAAATGAGCAGCACTTGCGGGAAGTGTGAAAAGGTCCACAGCAGCCATGTTACGGTCACCTCAGCAGCATCGCAGCTCGCAGCGAGATTTGGCAACACCGAGACTCATTAAATTGACCGCTAATGGCCACTTTCCGCAGGTACCAGAGGAATTAACACTGCACCAGATAAATAAAACTCTCAGCGTGCACCGCTAATCAACAACCGTGCTTGATAAAATATTTATAACGCTGCCAATCTGCTGCGTTTAATATAAATGGCTCGTATACCCCCAGTCACTTCTAGAAAGTGGTTCACATGGATTGCGGAGGTGCTGAACTTGATATAGGTGCTGTTTCTGGTGACAACAATCAAAAGGGGGACTTGTATAACGGCATCAAACTTCATCCATTCCCCTAGAAATGTGCAAGCGCTGGGAAGGCCTGAAGCTGGGAGCCTCATTACTGGCCTCCCTCCCTCTCTCTCACAGAGCAGGTTTCAGACAAGCTTTCTGATCAGGGAAATTGCATTATTGCCAGGAATTTCTGTCTGGCAAGCCAAAAATCGTCATATACAAACAGCAGGCAATTTGAAATGTTTAAGACAAAACAAGCACATGCAAGCAGGCAGTAAACTGTACAATAAGCAGGTCACACACACACAGTGTGCCAAGATGTAGACTTTTGAGTCATCTTTACTGTGGCGAGACTTTCTCCTCTGCCATATGCAAGGCTTCAACTGGCTGTCGACTGTGAACAGGATTTATGCCCTGCATACTCGGGATTCCTGACATTAGCCACTGAGCTAGGGCAAAGCTGGCTCATCCAAGTTAAAATGAATTCAGCCATTTTAAAATCAAAAGGATTTCATGTGAATTTTCACTGAACATAATAGAGAAACTTTAATGAATCTTAGGCTTTCTTAATCCACAAAGATATCTATTGCCACATCCAAGCTAAAGCAATGAAGTGAAAATAGTTGGAACAAATTAAGAATTAGGATTCCTCTCAGTAAGACAAATAAATTGTTGTCAATATTGATCTTACCACAAAACCTCTCAAAGTATTTGAAAAGCATGAAGTGCGACAGAGGCAAATGAGGCAGCCAATCTCACACCAGGAACAAACAGTATTAACATCAATAACCAATTTGGGTTTCTTTTTGGTGATTTGGGTAAGGAAGGAATGGTTTGCTCTCTGAGACATTGCCATTGGCACAGCATCCACACAGAACAACCAGAACTGCAAGTTTGCTGCCACGTTCCACTTTACAGTGAATTCTGTGGAGAGCTTTGATATACTGGGCCCTGATATACTCCCCACCCACTCCCCACCAACTCCCTCCCTCCCCGAGTCAATGCTTTGAACCGCTAAAAGCCTGCTACATTAGTGAGAACTTTGGAGATCCTGAAACTGTACAAGTTTAATTTTTATTAAAAAAGAGTAAACTAGCCCGAGAATGTGTTCAGGTCTTTGTCCTTTTAAAACTATATATATACATACACACAAAACATTATATATATATATACATACACTATATATATGCACAATATATATAAATAATTATATTTGATAAGTCTCATCTCTTTAATATATTCATATATTAATAACAATCCTTGCATTTGATATAGCACATTATCACATCTTCGAGATATCAATGTGTTTCACAGAATATACTGTAAAGTGTAGTGACTGTTTATTTTGTGGGCCAAATATGCTTCCCTATTAGTAAATGACCGGACATTAAAACGACCTCAGACAACATCACAAGCAATCAAAGGCCTTCTCTCTCCCCAGTTATAGCTCCAAACACAAGCACACCCCTCTTAGCCATTGACCTCACCGTACCACCAGAAGCAGGTTATCTTTAATGCAAATTAAACATCTGCCGTTCCCCCGAGGATGTGCGGGCGCTCAGTCCCTTTGGAGACGCGTTTGATCAGAAATTCAACTTTAAGCTGAATTCATTAGTGTTTAATAATAAAGTTACGGGCAGAGCCATAGGCAGGAGGGTTTTTTTGATCACCGTCTCAAACGCTTCACAGAATATACTGTAAAGTGAATTAACTGTTTATTTTGTTGGCGAAAAGCGGCAGCCAATTGCACACAGCAGCGTCCCACAAACAGTCGTGGATTGAGTGACCAAATTATTAGTATTATTTTTTGCTCTAAAATAAAAGTGAAGAGTGTATAATGCACTCCAGAATCCTGCTCCTCGCTGTCTAATCCAGTATAAGGAAGGGCCTGGTAAGCCAATGCTATGGATATGGGCAATTATACATTTCCAAGTCTTTTTATGAAATGACAATTATTTTTCTTCAGGTAGTGCAATGACTGAAAACCGGAGACTACTACATACACTCCCGAGGTAATTACACCATCCTCCAAGAGAAGCCTTAAGACTATTTTTTTTCCTCTTCGCTTATATATAAAAAAATAAAGCTTTATCAGTGTGTTCCCCACGACACTAATAGTCTTCCTTTATCTCCATTGCCTGCTGTCTCCATCGGGTAAGCAAACCTCACAGCGAGCGGTCACCTTCCTACAGAGTCATTAAATCTCACCGTGTCAGCTGGTGGCACCAGCCTGCGGACTTCCGCACCTGAGCCCTGCGGCAGCCACACATAGGCTGTTTGGATCACTGTCAGTAATAAACACAGAATTCATATGCAGCCTGTCATTACCGGGCTGCTTTCTGTCTGACAGATGTGGTCTAAATGAGATTGATTAGAGAGCGCATTTGTGTGTTAACTTTCCAGAGTTAATCTCACACCAACCTCACTCCACACTCCCTCCAGCCCCCACTCCTCTTTTACCAACAACAATTAAAGAGTGATATATGCACCCAGACAGTCACTACACTTGACAGTGAATCCTGTGAAGTGCTTTGATATGTGAAAGATACTATGAATAATCCTTATAATCCTTGCATTTGATATACTGCTTTATCACGTTGTTGAGATGTCTCGAAGTGCTTCACAGAATATACTGTAAAGTGGTTTGACTGTACATTTTGTGGGTGAAACACAATCAGCATCGCACAAACAGTCATGGATTGAGTCACCACATTTTTTAAAAAAGACATTATTATCCACAGAAAGTGATCCATCAATTGACTAACAACTGGGTTCCTACTTACTGCTGGGTAAACAGAGGTGTGTGTGTGTGGAGTAAGGAAACTTGCCTAAGGTTTTGCCCTGCCTGGTAATCGAGCCAGGATCCTCTCGCTTGTGTACCACATACAACCTTTTTTTATATATAAGCCATGTGTAAAGGAGCAATGCTGTAACCCAGCAGTAGGTGGGACCCAGAGCCGAGCAGCTTCACGTGTTCAAGGCAGAGTCACAGCTGCACACATGACAAATTAACAGGGTTCTGCAGTAGTTATTTGGTGCTTGGCATCATGGTTCCGAAGCGTAGGGACCAGCAGGGCTGAAACCGCTCACATCTTCAGCAATCCTTCCCCCCCTCCCCCCAGGGGCTGGGACTCGCATCCGTGTGAAATATGATTCCATAAATCAGGCCACAGAAATGGCACTTGTGCACATCACCATCCATCTCGCCCTCGTCTCTGAAGGCGCTGGGGCAAAGAAGAGCAGTATGGCTCCTTCACTGGTGGAGCGAGGGTACACACAGCCCAGCTATTGGCATTGACAAAGCAGCCAGCGCTGCCTCCATCAGAGACAGCGACCCACAGACTGTACAAACAGGAGCTGAGCAGCTCACACTGACTCGCGTCAGGTTCGGGCCAAACCGTGAGCAGCTCACACAACAAAACAGGGTAAACCTCTGGCCCCAGCCTCACAAGAGCTCTGTAGCTTAGTGGTTAGTGTGCTCGCCTCACAAGTGAGAGAGTGAGGACCTGGGTTTGATTCCCGGGCAGGACAGGACGAACCCTTAAGCAAGTTTCCTTATTCCACACACACCTCTGTTGACCCAGCAGTATGTAGGAACCCAGTTCTTAGTCGATTGGCCGATCACTTTCCAGGGATTATAACCCCTTCAAAAATAATTATTATAATTTGGTCACTCATTCCATTCCACAGCTGTTTGTGGGACACTGCTGTGCACAAATGGCTGCTGCGTTTCACCCATAAAATATACAGTCAATTCATTTTACAGTGTAAATACATATAATAATAATAATAATCCTTGCATTTGATATAGCGCTTTTCACGTTGGGAGGACGTCCCAAAGCGCTTCACAGAACACACTGTAAAGTGAATTGACTGTATATTTGTGGGCGAACGCGGCAGCCAATTGCGCACAGCAATGTCCCACAAACAGTCGTAGATTGAAAATGACCAATTTATTATTGTTTTTTGTTTTTTTGGAGGGATTATTATTAGGCTCTGTGTGGAGTAAGGAAACTTGCCCAAGGTTTCGCCCTCTGCCTGGGATTGAACTCAGGTCTCTCACTTGCAAAGCGAGTGCTCTAACCACTGAGCTACAGGACTCCATCTGGGCTCCTCTATAATAATAACCCTTGCATTTGATACAGAGCCTTATCATGTCTTCGAGACACTTTGAGACGTCTCAAAGATGTGATAAGGTGCTATATCAAGTGCAAGGATTATTATTATTATAGAAGAGCCCAGATATATATGGGACTGTAAGGTTTATTGCCTGTCACAGATTTATAAGTGTTGCTGGTGTCTCTGGTCTGTGTCGCACTCCATATGGAGCTGCCAGGTGACAACAGAAGAACACGGGCATAAAACACACGGCCTATTCCAGCAAGTTCCTCCTCAGTGTCACACAGCCTCTAACTTTCAATGGTTCACATTACTTTGCTCCCCCACCACCCCACCCAGTTCTGTTCAGCCAATAATCCACAGCTCCCCCCACCATCCTCCCATGTGGACAGCTCAGGTCTGCGCCCACCCCGTTCCGCTCGCTGTCTCCTCAAACCAACCAGTTGCTGCTCAGACAGTTCTACACAGTCAGTCAGTTAGAGTCGGTTGTACACAGACCGCAATTGTTTCTTTCAGAACAATCGTTTAAAAATAGGTTAATAATAGACTATTAACTCCCTCCCAGCTGCTAATAACATCACTTTTTATCTTTTTAAGGCCACGGCAATCGCCAGGCAAGGTGTTGGTTTCAAACAAACTATCAATGCCTGACTTTAGGATTTAATAAGTGCTGGTTTCTCAGTGAGTGAATTTGATGCGGTTGATATTGTAAAGCATTCCAACTGCGGTTGCTGTAGCTTCCTCTAATTTAGAAATGAATTTTGCTGAAAATACAGATCAATTTTCCTCCCGAAACGCAAATTTCCATTGAATTCAGCCGACTCCAACATACCCGCTCAGTAGAAACAAATTCACCTTTAAAATTAACTTACCCTGCCACTCACACAACTGTCCCACACACTTCAATTTATAACTACCATGTCAGGATTTCAAACTCATTGTTTAGTCCGATGCTTCACTGCAGTAGTGGGGTGTAGTGCATTGTTGGAAGTGCCATCCTTTGGATGAGACCAACTGAGATCTCTTTACTGTGACTATTTGGGTTAAAGGTTCCTTGGCATTAATCAAAAATAGAACAGGATTTCTCTCTCCCAGTATCCTGGCCAACAATTCCCACCCCCCAATGATAAAAGGGATTGTTTACTTCATGGATATTTGTGGGACACTGCTGGGCACAAAATAGCTGCTGCATCTGCCTACAAACTGGGTTAACCCACAAAACACACAATCACAACACTTTACAGTAATTCCTGTGAAGTGCTTTGAGATGTCTACCCGAACTGAAAAGCACCATTTTAAATGTGAAGATTATTATTCCTACAATTGCTACATTTGATTTAACCCCTTTGATGTCAGGAGGATGTCTCAAAGCGAGGACAGGGTTTACCGTAGAGTGTAGTGCCTGTTTTTTGTAGTTTGTATGGTTCAAACAGCATTCTAGCCGTTCCATTAGTCCCACGTGGAAAGCGATAAAAACGCCTCAACTCCGCCTGAACTTCATACTAAACTGTAGTGCTGTACAACCTGCAGTTTGAATGCTAGACTAATAAGGTACATTTATACACAAAATTCAGTTCAAGACCTTTATTCCTCTGCCCCATTTATTACAGTGAGTTATCGCTCTACATGATTTAGCAAAATTATGACTTTACATTAAAATGATTCAGCAGGGAGTGGCACATTATGTGTAGAATATAGCGGCAGCCCTAAAGATAAGATTTATAACCTCAAGTAAGACAAAGCAAGAAAAGGCCATTTTAGACCACCCCGTCTAACAAACCGGATACAAATCATTCCAACCAAGAAATGAAATCTCCAAGACAAGGATAAATGGAATGCGTTGCCTGAAAGGCTGGTGGAAGCCAATTTGATAACAACTTTTAAGAGAGAAGTAGATAATTATTTGGGGAGGACAAGTTTGCAGGTCTATTGGGAGAGAGCGGGGGAGTGGGGTTGACCAGGGCTATGGGGAGAGAGCGGAGGGAGTGAGGTTGATCAGGGCTTTGGGGAGAGAGCGGGGGAGTGGGGTTGACCAGGGCTATGGGGAGAGAGCGGAGGGAGTGGGGTTGATCAGGGCTATGGGGAGAGAGCGGGGGAGTGGGGTTGATCAGGGCTATGGGGAGAGAGCGGGGGAGTGGGGTTGATCAGGGCTATGGGGAGAGAGAGGGGGAGTGGGGTCGATCAGGTTATGGGGAGAGAGCGGGGGAGTGGGATTGATCAGGGCTATAGGGGGAGAGCGGGGGAGTGGGGTTGATCGAGTTATGGGGAGAGAGCGGGGGAGTGGGGTTGATCGAGTTATGGGGAGAGAGCGGGGGAGTGGGGTTGATTTGGAAGCTCTTTTCAAAGAGCCGTCACAGACACGATGGGCCGAATGGCCTCCTTCTGTGCTGTATAATTCTAGGATTCTATAAAAAAGTTTGAAAGAAGGGAAAATGCCACCATATAAAAATATCAATCTCACTATAAACCTCAATTACTCAATACTGGCCCATTTTATCTCACCGATCACCTTCTCAGCACCAACATTCAAGCTGACATTTACACCTACAGACCAAGTGGAGGAAGGACTGTTAAATAGCCTCACACACAAAGTAGAATTCTCTCTCAGGCTTCAATGCTCACGCTGAGAACCAGCCAACCCGTTTGCTCGGGTTATAAATAATAATCCTTGCATCTGATATTATCATGATTATTATCCCAGGAAAAAGATCTGACAATCGACTAACAATCGGGGTCCTACTTACTACTAAGTAATAATAATCCTTGCATTTGATACAGAGCCTTATCATGTCTTCGAGACTCTCAATGCGCTACACAGACTATATTGTAAAGTGAATTGACTGCATATTTTGTGGGCGAAACACAGCAGCCAATTGTGCAAAGCAGTGTCCCACAAACAGTCGTGGATTGAGTGATCAAATTACTATTATTTATTTATTTTGAAGGGATTTTTATCCCAGGAAAAGCGATCCACCAGTTGACTAATAACCGGATTCTGTTAGGTAAACAGAGTGTGTGGAGAAAGGAAACTTGCCCAACATTATGATTCTCTTCAAGGTACAAAGGTCAGATTTATAAAAAAAAATTAAAAACAAATCACCAGAAAAAAAAATCATTTTCAGTATATTTTTCAACTTGCGAATTTCCCCTTTTTGGAGGCACAAAAATCTGGGAATTTTTAGGAAAAGGAAATTCGAGGGAGAAGCGCTTACCTCCAGGCCTTCTTTATACCGATCTTCAAACACAGCCATTGCTGCCAATGAGCCAGAACCTGCGAAGATAAAAACAAATGCTCATCAAACTCAACTTCATACCATTTATTCACAAAAGCGCTTTGCAGGAACCAAATGATTTGCGTTTCCTACTCTTACTTCCTGTATGTAATAATAACGATCCCTGCATTTGATACAGCGCCTTATCACGTCTTCGAGACGTCTCAAAGCGCTTCACAGAATAGATTGTAAAGTGAATTGACTGTATATTTTATCACCGAAACACGGCAGCCAACTATCTACAGCAACAACTTGCCTTTATATAGCGACCTTTACGCAGGCTGTGTCTCAAAAAGCGTTTCTCCAGAATCCCTGCCTGTCTTACTGTCCTGTAGTGCAAACAATGTTGGTTAGACGTGTGTGTGTGTGTGTGTGGGGGGGGGGGGTGAATTTTCAGTGGTAAAATCCTCCAAGTCACTTAGTATATTCTCTCTCCTGTTCACTTTATTTTTCAACCCCTTTTGAGTCTCTGAAGATTTTAACATCTTTCCTGACTCCTCTCTTATTGTTATAATGTTGGAAGGATTTTTTTTAGATGTGACGATTTAGATTTGCTGCATTGTGCCTTCCAGTTCTCTCTGGACTCCCCAATCTCGCTTTTGAAACCTCTTTCTGTGCAGTGCTGTATTCAGATCCACGCTCACCCTCTCCGGAGTTTCTTTGCCCTACTAACAAGCACTGCACATTGCAAACCAGAGAGGCTACCCTAGCACTCCACTCTTCCAGAAAACATACTCAGTTTCAGATCCAAATGCAAGGATTATTGTTATTATTATCCAATTTATTTAACAGAGTTCAAAGGAAACTTTTACAAATCCAATGTGTGCCTTCTAACTTGAGCTCTCTCAAGACACGGTAGAGGACACGACGCAGTCAAATAACCAAGATTAAGCAAACCCATCTTATTTTGTACACAGAATTTAAAGGGTTTATAAAAAGACATTCCAATTTTACACGTGATCTAGACGAGGCATCTGTCACACCTACACCAGTCCCAATCACACAACACCCACCCCCCACCACACACACAAAGGAGGAAAGCTATTACAGTTCCTACATCTCTTGCATTACGCAGTAAAAGCAATTCAGCATCATTTTGGAAAATGAGAAATGTTAACAATTTGTGGTTCGCAGAGCAAAGTGCGGAGACTTTAAAACACATCATCCCATCTGCTATGGAGTTATTAAATGGGTTTGGAAACTTCTATTTGTGCTGAAAAATGCAACCAGTGACTATTTTTCAACCCAATTAAAATAACTTTTTGGCATTTATTACTGTTCTAAGTAACTCTGTATACCACTTCTCATTTACCAGAGTCACACTGCTTCCCATTTAAAGTGATTTGTGAACATTGGTCAACCCGCACAATGGATGTGAATTGAAAAGAGGTGGCGATTAAAGGCTTTTGAATGAGATATCCTGCTGACTTTATCAATTCCGGTGAATACGTAATAGCATATTACAACCCAACAGTTATAACACGCAGCAAAAAAAACCACACACTTCCTATCAGCAACATTTAAGCAGTTTGATTATAGATCAAACTCCATGGCTTCAAGTACCATTGCTACAAGGGAATGAAATTGATCAGCCTTGCTGAATAGTCATTCAATTGGAGTGAGAATCCTGGGATGAATTATCACTCAAATTCAAAGTGATCACAGCACAGCGATTCTCTGTGGTAACACACACACACATATATATATATATATATATATAGATAAATATTGCTCAAAGCTGTGAGAGTGTAAAGTGGCAGAAAATAAAGGACTGAACTGGCTACCCAGGCGAGGTGTAATGTAAGCAGCAAGACAGTGTGCAAAGTGCACAGCAGGTAGGATAGAGGAAGAGAATTTCTCTTTCCTCCTCTCCCTTCACAAACCCAGGCTAGCCCGGCCCCTGTGCTTTGTGCTGATCTCTTGAATATCTCAATCTCTCTTTCCCTCCGGTAACTACTTTTCTGCAGTCTGCAAATTTCCACACTAAGCCCCCACCAGGTTAATGTGGCTTAAGAACATTGTTGGAATATGCCCTGGGGTGCGGGGGGTGGAAGGGAAGGAATTATTTCTTCTTTCTAACCTCTGGTCTTTGTTTGAGACAAATAAGTCTTATGTACTTTCGCTCTATGCTCATAGCAGCAGTTTGCTACATTATCTACACCTCAGCAATGTTAAAGAAACTCCTCACCCTCTGCAGGGAGGCCAGGATTCTGTGCCATTTAGTGAGTGAAGCCTCAGGCACACTGTCAAACCAGCCACACTCCCATCACAGCCCTGTGGTGCCCAACACAGTGAGCTTGATGGTACAAATCCTTTTCCACTCCACTTGCCGCGTGTTGATAAAGAGCAAACCCAGCGTCCTGCAAACCCAGAGTGGCAACACTCAACACAGGGAAGTTCTGATCTAACGGGTGAGCTATCAAACAGTCACCAGGCACTTACTGTACTTTCTGCCCCTCAGCCACTACGCCCGAAACTCTGGAACACTCTCCGTCAATCACTTCACCTTATCCTCTCTCCCCCTTTTCAAGTCTCGCCTGAAAACCCTCCTCTTTGACCATGCTTACGACCATTCCTCCCGCCCCTCACCGGCTTGGAGTCAGGCTCCGCCACTGTTAAGCGCTCTGAGATGCTACCTACCCTGCGTGGCATTCGCTATATAAGTGCAAGCTGTTGCGGTTGTAGAACATAGCAGCTCAGTGTGGCTTCCACAGACACTGGCTGCTCTCAAGACACAACCCTTATTTACAAGGCTGAAGGTGATCTGACTGTACAGATTCTGTCCTTATCCAACATCATGTTGCAGGAGGCTGCAATGTATAGCGATCAGGAGGCCCTTTGTAGGGACGATGATGATCAGTCATTGGGCCCCACCAAGCCACCAACCGAGAGCGAGGCAAATGCAGAGACAGACGGACAGAGACAGACAGAGTGTGTAGAGAGTGGTGTGAGGTTGGGTGGATAGGACGCACCAGATATGGCAGATTACCGGCACTGAACCTGGAGCAAGCTAACATTCCAAGTCCTGACCTTTAAGACGCATTAGTTTCTGAAATGTTTTAAAAATACTTAACTTATAAAATGTACGAGGTGGGAGTCTCGGGAGGAGAGTGTGCAGGATGGCTTGAGGAATGTCTAGCCCCCTTCCCCCTCCTCTCTCCCCCCACCCCCACCATTTCCCCTCCATAATACCATCCAGTTCACTGATTAAATATAAACCATACCAGTAGGACCAGGAGGTGATGAGATTCCTGCTGCCTGAGACGCTGTCACCTTTTCAAGAACATTATAATTAGTTCCTTTAAAACAGGATTTCTCATTTTTTCCTAAATGCCTTGTTGTGGCCCTAGCCTAACCCTGGTGGAGAACTACCCAGCAGTCCATTTTAAGTACCCAAGGCCCTATTTGCCAGCGAAGGCTGCTCTGTATTCTGAAGCCTGCCACGGCACAGGATCCGCAGCAGCGCCTGAAGTGCAACATTTAGGACCTTCTCATCCATCAGAGTCAGAACAGTGTGACAGAGTGCTTATTCACACTTACTCATTGTTATTCAATTTGCTGCCTGGGCTCAGTGTAAAAAATTTGGTGCACTCCGCAGCCCCATCAATTGTGATCATTTTTCACCCTGGCTCCTGGCTGAGAGGCCCAGTCTCTAGGTGGTAATGTTTGCTCCACAGCCCAGACGCTGCCAATGCACAAAAACGCTGATTTATGAATGTGAAACCCGCCTGAGTGCCGGGGGAGGAGGCGTATTCACTGGAGAGCGCGGAAGCTCTCTGCTAGCCTTCCTCGTGCTGAACTGCTGATCGCCTGCAACACTTTAATTTTATGCAAACGCACTCTACATTTCATTACAAGCATCAGCCAAGAGCATCCCCGGACAACAAGCTGAGCGAGCAATCAACCCACCCTTCTGCACCATTTGCTGAAAAACAAAAAAATTTTGTCTTTTGTCAGCACAGTTTAATGTGATGATTTCATCCCTGAGTAAGCAGAGCGTTTTAATCTTCCTCGTGGCTTACATCTCAGTTTACAATGTTACGCCAATCACCGCCCCACTCCCGCTCTCTCCCTTTAGCCGTAGCACAAACTTCGAGACTGCCCATGTACAATGTAGCGTGAGAAAGAAAGGAAGTCTCTAATAATACAGTATAGGCTGGCTCTCAATGCCCTAGAACATCAAAACTAGAATGTAATTTACATATCTGTCATTTACACCCCACATTATTCAGCACATTCCCACACAAACCGTAAGAACTGAGTGTAAATCAGGAAAGATTTTCTGGATTGAGAAACAGATCAGGCATTTGTGTACAAGGCTTTCACACACACATGCACACACACACTCATGCACACGCATGATAGCTAACATCTATCATCACAAAGAATGCTTCAAAATGTTTATTTGGAATTTGCAACAGCTCATCAACATCTCATCTTAGGATCCACAGACAGAGTCTGGTAACCCAACAGCCAGGTTTGTTTAGGGCTCCGGGACGCTATCCTACATCAAGAGGGCTATACGAGTGTGAGTTGTGTGTATGCACTGGCTGCTGCAGTAAGCAATGTCTTGTAACTACACTGACTGTGTTCTTTCACCACCTCTATAACAACTTGGAGCTGAGTGATCATTTTTATCAGGGTGGGGGGGAATTGTTCACTGGGACAGGAGGGAGAAACTCCCTTCTCTTTTCAAATGCTGTTGTGTAACATTAAAGATCCTTCCACAGTAAATTCCAGGAAACGTTTTGAGTTAACCCCCCCACCAACATGAATCGTACTATACTAAATGTGAGGAATATTACTTTAAATATAAATTATTGAATTCAGTTTGGAACAGGAAAGCTGCTGAAGCGGTACATTACTGAGCTGAAAAATGGTGATGTGCCTAGGATGGTACACACATGGTACACACTGTCTGTGGATGTGAAACTCGCTTATTTTATACCAGGAGAAAAATCCATTCTGTCACTGTATGTACCACCCTGCCGTATCGTGGCTCTGCAACAAACATCCCACATTTATTTTGGATTACCTCTAGCCTCCTTGCAGCATGAACACCAGGCTAGTTTCTGTAGCACCTCAACGTAGTCAGTGGTTGGCACCGCTTACACCATCCACTACAGCTACAGTGTACAAATGATACAGGGCCTTTCATGTCAGAACTCCACACAGTGAATTTGGAACCTGAGCAAAGTGCAGTCAAAAAGACAGATCTTAAGATAGGCATTATAGCTGGGGAGGGAGGGGACGCATATGCGCCACACAGGCAGGTTTCTCAGTGAAAAACATATCTGTTTAGAAAGGCGCTGCATGGTGCATTATTACCATCCTCAAAAATAATCTGGTCACTCAATCCACAACTGCCACGTTTCGCCCACAAAATATACTGTCAATTCACTTTACAGTATATTCTGTGAAGGGCTTTGAGACGCCTCGAAGACCTGATAAGGCGCAGTATCAAATACAAGAATTATTATTCTTATTACTAGAGCTCTGACTAAAGGTCATAGACCTGAATCGTTAACTCATTTTCCTTTCTCCATAGCTGCTGCCTGACCTGCTTTGTGTTCCCAGCAACTTCTGTTTTTAACATAAAAGCAACGCTAGTGAGTGGTCAGGCTGTGTATCGTTGACACCAGTGTTATATCAGAGCTTGCACTGCCCGAGTCGCTGCAATAATGATGCAAAGCCGCCACCTGCAGGTTGACAAAATTCCTACAGGGTTTTGTTGAAAGCAGTGATCAGTTTACATGTTCCTGTTGTGGTCTTCTGCTGTTTATACAGGTATATTTGTGCAGAACAGAATGGGGATACACAGCCAGGTTTCTGTATAATTAGTTTATTAGGAATGGTGGCAGTGAAAGGAGAGAATGTAACTCGAGCAGCGGTGGGAAAAGTTGCTGTGTGAGCCAAAGACCGTAGGAGCTAAAAATAATGGAATTTTATGTGCATTTTCTAACGAAAAAAAGATTTCAGATTTCCTCAAGTTTACAGAAAGGATTTTATGGCTCACTGTTAGCTTCCACACACATAAGTGTCATCCACCACACGCCTACTCTGCACTCACACATGCTGACCAGCCTGTGGCTTTACAAACATGCAGTGGTGCTCATCGGCTAGCAGGGGTCAACACGTCAGACAGGGCAAGCCAATGTGGCTTTTCCTCCCAAGTAGGGCAGAGTAGCCATGCCTGAGTGGGTCTAACGAGCAACCGCAAGCCAGGACCTCTGTTACAAGCCAAAAATCCTATTGTTGAGCGGAATTTATTATTATTAATACTGAACCACCTTCCCCCAATCCCACCTCCCCACAGTCGCCAGAGTGTTTGTTATACCCAGGTCAGCCTGTATTCAGGAGGGTAAAGCTTTCAGTAGCCAAATTACTGAAGTCAATTCATGCAAAGTATTAACCAAAGAGCAGTCAGATCGAAACATTATTCATTATCTCAAAAACTGCTACATAAGATTACTTCAATCTATCCAATAAATCTCTGGGGTTCCCTATAACAATGCAGATTATCTCCAACAGTGTTCAGTCAGAGATGTCACATGTAACCAGAGGCAAATGTACTTTATTCTTAGCTGATTACACAATTCTTCCTTACATACAAAAGGCTCAATCTATTAATGGGTGGGGGTAGGGGGTGGGGGAGAAAGAGAGTGAAAAAAAGTTACAAATGGCACATATCTAAAAACTATTAAAAGATTCACTGTAGAGATAGCGAACGCTGGACAGAAATTCAACAGATTGCATTTCCATGGTTGACATTCCAAGCTACTCCATTCACAATACAATACCTTTCACACTTGGAGGACGTCACAAAGCTATGCGCAGTTGGCTGCTGCATTTTGCCTATAAATATAGTCAATTCACTTTACAGTATATTCTGTGAAGCCCTTTGAGACGTTTCAAAGACGTGAAAAGCGCTACATCAAATGCAAGGATATTTTAAAATTTATTTTTACAGCAAAGCGCTCCACACAGCTGGCTGGGCACCCAATCCCGTGGTGATGGGGAGGGGGCTGAAGATTGTAGGAGAAGGGAATGATGACCAAAAGTGTGGTCAAAGAGACAAGTTGTTAAGGCGGGGAGGGAGGAGGCAAACTAAGTTTGCTAAATACTGTATGTGGAAATGCTTCAGTCAGCTCTTAAAATGGATGGGTTCTTGACGTGAAAGGCGCTATACAAATGTAATTTATTGTTGTTGTTTGCAGATGTGAAAGCTAACTCAGTCTGGCTATCACAGGTTAATATCGTTTTGTTCTCCCGACGAACAAAGAGCACGGAATAAGGTTATAAAGTGCACTCACCCATAGTCACGTAGGGCAGTTTGTCAGTGGAGCCATGCGGGTAGATGCTATAGAGGTGGGGGCCAGCACAGTCGACCCCTCCGAGGACCAGCGCTGCACTGATGTAGCCCTGGTATCTGGTCAGGAATCACATACCACATTAATGTACATTAATAGTTTGATTGCAGCAATTCAGTGAGAGCCAATTAAAGATAAGAGATAAGACACTTGAGACATTTGGCCAGTGAACAAACTGGCACAAACTTCACACTAGAGATTCCTTCCAGAAAACGCTCGCCTGTGAAAGAGAGGCTGGCGACATTCTCTCTGTGTGTAAATCTCACACAACTATTCAAACTTTTGTTCCGCCCCAAATCTCCAGCCAAGAGTCACACAGGGTCACAACCCTTCCCCCCACCCGCCCTGTGAAGAGTCACTGACAGCACACCCTCAGCACAAAGTCTGTTTGTTCTTCTTTCTCAACAGAATCTGTCGGTGCAAAATGCACGTGTTTCAAGCAGCTCATACATTCAGTTACCGTGTAAGATGGGCACTAGATTTTAGACCCACATTAGAGAGCTGACAGGGCACAATTCACCTTGCGTGGGACTGTCCTGCCAAACCATTACTATCCTCAACTCCCTACATCTCCCCCCCCACCCTCTGGGTTTACCCAAAATCAGAAACACAACCTACAAAGACCATTTAATCCCATAACAGCCATAGATTATGGCTGGTTTCATTTGCTGAGGATTGAAACGTGAAAGCTTTCATCCCCCACCAGGTTGTCAGCCGTAATAAGCCATTGCAAACGGGAACACAATCAGACTTCAGAGAACCAACATCTAAACAAACCCATTAGTTTCAGAGTGAGGGCAGTAGGTTGTGTGCTCTGTTAGTTTCAGAGTGAGGGCAGTAGGTTGTGGGCCCTTTACCTGAACAGCATCTGCTTGAGCATGCGGTTGGCGGTGACGACTCGGGGCAGTCGGCCGGTGGACAAGCCGTGCAGCTCCAGGTTAGAGGAGATCATCTGAGTGGTCATCTCAGTGTCTGCAGCCGTCCCAGCCCCACAACAGCTAAACAGAGGGTCAACATTGATAGATCAGCTCACAACAGCAGAAGCAAGTCCCATTTATATAGCAACCTTCAGGCGGGGTAGTGTCCCAGAGCGCTTGATAGTGGCTGAGTTTGACGCTGAGCTGGGGGAGAGGGAGGTGACCGTAAGCACAATCAAAAAGGAAAGTCTTTAGACGGGATTTGAAGTTGGGGAGGGAACGAGGGAGAGTTGAACGACAACAAGTAACATTTATACAGCGCTTCGGGAGGACGCCCCAGGATATTACTATCCTTTCCCCTTCTCTCCCACCCAGTTGACCCAAGATCAAGGTTAAAGCTGATCTAATTGGTGTTCAGGACTCTTTACAGCTGTGAAGCAAAGCTTTGCATTATACAATATCACACAATATCATACACGTTTACATTGATGTAGAGCCTTTCACATCAGAAAGATGTTTTGAAACGCTTCATGTGCAATTTTGACGAAGTGATTTTTTACAACGAGACTCAGGGGATGGGAGGGTGAAATCAATCGTGTCTCTTCCCAGTGAAAGTCCAGTCTGGACAGACCTTATAGGGAGCAAATCAAAGCAAACATCATTTGCTCCTCTCTGTACCTAACCTGATCACTAGGCCACGACCGTGATCCACCTTTGCAATCAGAATAAAAACAACTAAAGCCTTACTCGGTTGAGTACTTACTAAATATTGGGGGCGATGTAGTGTATTTTGGAGCAGTTTTTATCAGCGACAATCGTGCCTTCTGTTGCTCTTGTATCAGCACCCAGGATCACCCCGTCCTGTAACATACAAAGGTTAGATTTGGGAATAAAATAAATCCATAAACATATCTATATATATTTATTAGCAACAATGCAGTTGACACATGCCATAATTATTTTTTTCAAAGCAAATTTCCCAACCCTCGAATCTATTAATGTTAAAAATATCGAACAACATTTAACATATTAGACCCTGACGTTACGTATAAACTAAACCAATGAAGGGCTGGCTCCGACAAAGGTGTCTGACTGAAGAGTCAGACATGATTGATGCTCATATGACACAGTGGCATAGACCCATAGTTGCTGAAAAAGCAGATCAGGTTCCTGTTTACTCGCGACTGTCTCTCTCTGACCCAAGCAGCTTGCAGGTAATTGCTAGCGTTCCATCAGCTCACTCAGTGCAGCGACTCTGCCAGCAAGCTATCACCGCGGCTCAGGCGCGTGGCATTTACACACACGCACACACTGCTCCTGCAGAGTTCACCAAGCAACTAAATGATTCGGAACAAGATAGTGTGCTGAAGTTTGCATGCTTGTTGCGGCATAAGCAAGGAGTTTGCATTGACATCCAGCGACCGAGAGACAGAAGCATCATTCACAAACACCAGGGCCGAAAGTGCAGCCAAACATAACCTTCCATGGGTTTTGAAAGCAGAGGGAAATGGTGAGGTGGTGGGATTTCAGAAGAGCATTCCAGAAGATGGGCAAAGTAGAGGAAATGGCAGAGGCGTGGGGGTATCCTTGGGATGAGAGATGGCAGGAAAGGATAATAATCCTTACATTTGATACACTGCATTATCAAATCGGGAGGAATTCTCAAAAGCACCTCACAGGATGTACTGTAAAGTGCGGCGAGTGTATTTTCTGGGTGAACACGGCAGCCAATTTGTATAGCAATGTTCAACAAATATAATTTACTCTTATATAATGTATGTCAAGAGGACGTCCCAAAACGGCCATAAAGTGAATGACTAAATTTATTGTTCACCAGGACACTATGAAGGGAGAAACTCCTTTCACTTTTCAAACAGTTGAAGATTCCCACCTTGAATATGACTCCAGCAATCGTAGTCCCAGTTTTCCTTGCTGCAGGAGCCTGGAAACCTTGCTTACACATCTGAGCATCAATAGAAGCATTCCTTAAACAAAGAAAACAGGCTTCATTGAAGAATCATCACAAACAATTTTAAAATATTTCAACAAGTTGTTACAAAAGAAATACAATAGATTCTCGTGGCAGAAGCAAAATATTTTTAAAACTTGTTTAATTATATGAAACAGGAAAATCACAGAAATGACCATCCAAACATTTTATTTTAGTTTACTTTTAAAATAACAAAAGGATTGTTATCTTTTGCACACTGCAATTTACAGTAAATCCTGTGAAACAATCTCAAATTGTTTCACAGGATTTACTGTAAATTACAGTGTGCGTTTTGTTGGTAAAATAAAGTGTGGGTAAAATAATCAATTATAAAGATATAGAGCATGTACATTATATACTCAGCCATGATCTAATGGCAGAACAGGCTCGCTCCCTGGAGGGGTGACCCTGCTTACCTAATTCCAGAGAGTATTGGGGGCAGGTTGGCAAGAGCCGAGGCTTGGGGGAGTTCAGCGCTGGCATCAGTGGAGCCCTGGAGTACTGAGGATCCGTTTGTACTAATAATAATTCTTGCATTTGATATAGCGCTTTTCACGTCGGGAGGACGTCCCAAAGCGCTTCACAGAACACACTGTAAAGTGAATTGACTGTATATTTGTGGGCGAACGCGGCAGCCAATTGCGCACAGCAATGTCCCACAAACAGTCGTAGATTGAAAATGACCAATTTATTATTGTTTTTGGTTTTGGAGGGATTATTATTAGGCTCTGTGTGGAGTAAGGAAACTTGCCCAAGGTTTCGCCCTCTGCCTGGAATTGAACTCAGGTCTCTCACTTGCAAAGCGAGTGCTCTAACCACTGAGCTACAGGACTGTTTAATGTAACATACAACTTTATATAAATTAGAGATAACCAATACAATTGTAAAGTTATAACCATATAATTTTATTATAATCTACGTGCGATTAGGAATTGGCTGTAATTTTACTGTATTATAAATGTTATCAGCGCTGAGTCACTGCCAGACACAGGCCCGGCCTCTCCGCCCGCACACACTCACCAGCCCCGGTCCTGTGTCACTCACCCTCCCTCCTTGTGTCTGTCTCACAGCTCCCACACAATTCCCCCACCCTCTCTCTGTCAGCCCATCTCTCTCTGTAGTGTGTGTGTGTGGGGGGGGGGGGCTAGTGTCCCACTCTCTCATTCCCCCCTCCCGATCTCTCTCTGTGCTACATGTGAGGGGGGGGGGGGGGGGGGTCTCGCGTGTGCTATATACGAGGAGAGAAGACCAGGTGTCTGACCTGTGGCAGTTGTGGAAGCTGAAGGCCGCGCTGTGTGTGTGTCTCTCCCCCCCCCCCAGTGTGTGTGTGTGTGCTGCTGCTGCTCTGGTAGCCGTCCTGTCGCTCGCCCCCCCCTCTCCCTCTCCCTGCATGTGGTGCTGTGCTGTGTGTACACAGTGTGAGGTGAGGTGGGAGGCCCTGACCTGCGGCAGTTCTGGAAACTGAACCCCGGGACCGAACAGTTCATCGTCAGCGCCGCCATCTTGTCCCGCGCCTCCCGGAAATGATCAGGCGTCATATCCGGTCAGACAGGCGCGGGAGTTCGTAATCCCCGACACAACAGCAGCACAGCAGCACAGCCCCCCCCGGTCACCTGACACCACAGCCCCCCCCCAGTCACCTGACACCACAGCCCCCCCCCCAGTCACCTGACACCACAGCCCCCCCCCCCGGTCACCTGACACCACAGCCCCCCCCCGGTCACCTGACACCACAGCCCCCCCCCCAGTCACCTGACACCACAGCCCCCCCCCCGGTCACCTGACACCACAGCCCCCCCCCCAGTCACCTGACACCACAGCCCCCCCCCCCGGTCACCTGACACCACAGCCCCCCCCAGTCACCTGACACCACAGCCCCCCCCCCCGGTCACCTGACACCACAGCCCCCCCCCCCCCCGGTCACCTGACACCACAGCCCCCCCCCAGTCACCTGACACCACAGCCCCCCCCCAGTCACCTGACACCACAGCCCCCCCCGGTCACCTGACACCACAGCCCCCCCCCCGGTCACCTGACACCACAGCCCCCCCCCCGGTCACCTGACCACAGCCCCCCCGGTCACCTGACACCACAGCCCCCCCCCCCCCCCCCCCCCCCGGTCACCTGACACCACAGCCCCCCCCCAGTCACCTGACACCACAGCCCCCCCCCCCCCAGTCACCTGACACCACAGCCCCCCCCCCGGTCACCTGACACCACAGCCCCCCCCCGGTCACCTGACACCACAGCCCCCCCCCCCCGGTCACCTGACACCACAGCCCCCCCCCCGGTCACCTGACACCACAGCCCCCCACGGTCACCTGACACCACAGCCCCCCCACGGTCACCTGACACCACAGCCCCCCCCCCCCCCCCGGTCACCTGACACCACAGCCCCCCCCCCCCCGGTCACCTGACACCACAGCCCCCCCCCCCCCGGTCACCTGACACCACACCACTGTGAAGTGTACTGAGTGTGAGGATTCCACTGTGAAGTGTAGTGACTGTGTGTTTGGTGGGGGCACACGACAGCCGAACTGCCCCACACGGTGACGTCATAAGAACATAAGAATTTGCGAGAAGACCAACAAGAACAACAAATGACATTGACGCAGCGCCTCCACATCAGGAGGAGACATCCCAAAGGCGCTGGACAGTCAGGGAGGACAGTCAGGGAGGACAGTCAGGGACCCGCACCCGAGCTGGGGGTGGGATCAGGAGGGCGGGGAGGGGAGGTTCGGAGGGTTACCGAAGGCACGGTCGAAGAGGAGGGTCTTGAGATGGGCCTTGAAGGAGGCAAGAAAGGGGGCGAGGCAGAGGGACCCTGGTATGGGGTTCCAGAGACCATCAGACGTAGGAGCAGGAGTAGGCTTTGGCCCCTCGAGCTGCCCCGCCATTTAATAAGATTATACCTGATCTTCTAACCTAATTCCATTTACCCGCCCTAGCACCATATCCCTTAATGCCTCTCTCCTTTAGAAAGGTGGGGGCACGCCCTCCAATGATGGTGCGGGTAAGGCAGGGGACATGAAGCAGGCCAGAGCCTGCTTAGTGGAGGTAGAGGACTGGTTGGTAAGGTGTTAGGAGGTCACAGAGGTAGGGAGGAGCAAGGCCATGGAGGGCTTTGAAGGTGAGGACCAGGATCTTGAACTGTATCTGCTAAGTAACGAGGAGCCAGTAGGGCAGAGTGACGATGGGGTTGATAGGGTCGCAGATCCTGCTGCGGGAGAGGGCGTGGATGATCTGCAGCCTGTGGAAGGAGGAGTTGGGGAGGCCAACAAGCAGGGAGTTTGCGTAGTCAAGCCTGGATGTGATGAACGCGTGGATGAGCGTGACTGGCAATTTAAGTAACTGGTGCCTCCTAAGGCGTTATATCAAATGCAAATTATTATTATTATTACAGCTCAGCTCATCAGTTTGTAATTTGAGCCTTTCAAACGTTATCTCAAATTAAAATCCAGGCAGATCCACTGTTCACCTGGGCTGTAAGACAGTCGGCCCACGTCAGTAACTCCCTTTATTTCACACACTCTGACCCGTGGCTATCTCCTCGCTGCCTGATGAGCTCTCTTTTCCATTCCAGGTTAGTGTCCCAATTGGGGGCAGATGTTTTGGCACATTATAATTGGAACGCTGCTTTGCTTTGTGTTGTGTTGTGTTGTGCGAGCTTTCTCCGACCTCCGGGATTTGTGAGTAAACAACTTCCAGAGTTGCATTTTCTCATTTCTTTTAATGAACGTTTGGCTTCCCAATTCCCTGCCATGGGAATGAACAGGAGCACTTTCTGGCACTTTCCATTTCCAGGACAAAGGACCGGGCATGAGCCACCTCACTCATCAGGATCGGTGTCATGGGTTTTTTCCGTTCCATTAGCCGTTCTCCACTCACCTTACCGTCTCGGGGCAGCAGATAATATTAATAATACATCATAATAATGCTTACATTTGGTGTGGCTGGCGCCTTTCCTGCCAAGAGGATATCCCAAAGTGTTTCACAGTTTATTACTGTAAAGTGCAGCGACTTTGTGTATTGTGGGTGAGTGTGGCAGCCAATTTGCTTAAAGCAATGACCATAAACCACAAGGATGATTGGATGAAAAAAGTTGCATCGCAAACACCCACCTACCTTCTTCCCATTGCATCTCCCCCCCCCCCCCGCCCTTGCTGATGAACTTGTCCTTGTCCGAGGCTCAACAACAACAATTTGCACTTATAAAACACCCACACAGGGTAGTGTTTCAGCACTTAACAGTGACGGATCCTGACTCCGAGCCAGTAGGGGGCTGGGGCGGGAGGTGGCCACAAGCACAGTCGGAGAGGAAGGTCTTCAGGCGGGACTTGAAAAAGGGGAGAGGGGGGACAAGGCGGAGTGATGAAGCAGATTGTTCCAGACTTTCGGGGCTGAAAGCACGACCTCCAATGGTGGGGTGAAGGGTGCAAGGGACGAGCAGGAGGCGGTGCCCGTTGAGCAGAGGTGCCAGGTGGTGGATTGAGGATTGAGGAGGTCAGAGAGGTATGGAGGTGCCATAAGAGTGAAGGAATTTGACACAAGTTTGAGGATCTTGAAGTCGATCCGTTCGGTGATGGGGAGCCAGTGGAGCCTGACCAGAACTGGTGAGATGTGGGTACAGAGTCTGGTCCGGGTAAGTATGCGGGCGGCAGAGTTCTGAATGAGTTGGATCTTTTGAACTCGTTCCAGGAACACTGCTGTGCTGACACAATGTCGTCAGACATCAAGTCCTGGATGAGAGCGAACTTTCTACAGTTGAACGTCAACAAGACCGAGACTCCTGATTGGCTCCGTCAGCGCCTCCTCACCTCAGGCGCTGACACCATCACCATCCATGGTTGCACACTCCACGTTGCTAAGTCAGTCCAGAACCTTGGGGTCTTGTTTGACCCTCAACTATCCTTTCTACCCACATCTGTGCCATGACCTTGGGCAAGTTTCCTTACTCCACACAGAGCCTAATAATATTCCCTCCAAAACCAAAAACAATAATAAATTGGTCATTTTCAATCTACGACTGTTTGTGGGACATTGCTGTGCGCAATTGGCTGCCGCGTTCGCCCACAGATATACAGTCAATTCACTTTACAGTGTGTTCTGTGAAGCGCTTTGGGACGTCCTCCCGACGTGAAGAGCGCTATATCAAATGCAAGGATTATTATTGTTATTATTATTATGACTCGCTCTGCCTTCCCCCACCTCCGCAACGTCACCCGGCTCCTCCACTGTCTCACTTTGCAGGCCACGAAACCCTCATTCACGCTTTCATTACATCGAGGCTCGACTCGTTGCTTGTCGGCCTCCCCAACTACTCCCTCTGCAGATCATCCAGAACTCTGCAGCGCGTGTCCTCTCCCGCACCAGGCTCTGTGACCCTATCAACCTTATCCTCGCCCAACTCCACCGGCTTCCCATCACACAGAGGATACAGTTCAAGATCCTGGTCCTCACCTTCAAAGCCCTCCACGCTCTTGATCCCCCCCGACCTCTGCGACTTCCTAACCCCCGACAAACCTGCTCATTCTCTCTGCTCAGCGGGCTCAGGCCTGCTTCTAATCCCCCGCCTCGCTCGCCCCACTATTGGCGTGTGAGCCTTCAGCCACTCTGCCCCCACCCTCTGGAACTCCATCGTGCAGTCCCTCCGCCTCACGCCTCCTTTTGCCTCCTTCAAGACCCATCTCAAGACCCTCCTCTTCGACCGTGCTTTCAATCTCCCTGCTTCCCCCCCGCCCTCTACCCTCCGCGATCCCGACTCCCAGCTTGGGTCCGAAACTCTCTGTCTATCCAGCACCTTGGGACCTCCTCCCGACATGAAAGGTACTATACAAATGTAATTTTGTTGTTGATGTTGAATAGTGGAGCTGAGAAGACCGGCGAGGAGTGCGCCAGTCTCCCCAGCTCTCTGGTCAACCACCTCTCTGGTCAACTGTTACACTAACTCTGTGTGTAAAGGTACCAGTCAGTCTCAGTCAGTCGCGCTCTCGCCTCGCCAGGTCAGGGACTTTGATCTCACAGTCCAGGCAGACACACCAGCAAAGCGCTGGGCGGGCACTGTGTTGTCAGAGGTGCTGTCCTTTGGATAAAATAATAATAATTCATGCATTTGATACAGCGCCTCATCACATCTTCTAGATGTCTCGAAGCGCTTCGCAGAATATACTGTAAAGTGAATTGACTATATTTTTGTGGGTGAAATGCGGCAGCACAAACAGTCGTGGATTGAAGTGATCAATTTATTATTTTTTATAAGATGTCCCGTAATGAGCCAGGGCTGTAAAGTGAGGAGCCTGTCCTGTACATTTGATAGTTATATTACAACCCCCCTCCTCCCCCCGACCCAGCCCCCGCGCTGGGCTCGTGATTGGCAAGTAACCAACACAGTAATTTACACCAAGTCTTGGGATATGAACTAGCACGTTGCTGAAGGCTATAACAGACTTGTTTCATCAAGAAGCAGATGTCCAATAATGAGAGTTCTGCCTGTGCGTAATGTTGTGCTTGTCTTGCTATTCTCTCAGGTGTGTGGCTGATTCCCTCACAGATGTGCGTGCGTGCGGGAAGGTGGGAGGAGGTCCTGTTGTCGGAGTGCAGACAGCCGTTCCGATGGCTCCATCTAGTGCGAATGTCGCCTCCCTTCAGCCAGCGCTTAGCTACCAGCAGAGAGAGACCCCAGCTGTGCTCACCCTGGGCTATGTGCAGCGCTCCGAGACCCCTGCCCTATCCCCTGAGCACAGCGGGAGAAACCTGAGATAGTGTTCGCTTCACAGTAAGTAAGTTTTTCTTACAAATGATCATTTTTTAAAAGTGATATTTCTTTAACATGGCTTTACTAAATAACATTAATCCTTACATTTGATACAGCACTTTTCATGTTGTGTGTTTTGTAGACAAAACCCGGCAGCCAATTTTGCGCATAGCGGCAACCCGCAAACAGCCATGAGTGAATGAGTGCTTTTTATCTGGGGGATTGTCAGCCAGGACACCGGCAGAGAGAGAGAAACTCCCTTCCATTTTCCAACAGTTTCTATTACACAGAATCCATGATCATTTTTTTTATTCATGTGTAACCTCAAATCTTTTTAAACTGATTTCAACTTTATCCTTTACTTTCTCAAACTGCAATCGACTTGTAACCTGTATTTGTTTGATGAATCTCTTGAGAATAACAGGTCTGCTCTGGCCCCACAGTATCAGTGGCTTCAGTTCAGATTTAAGCTGCTTCTCACTTGGCAAAACCTCACTTTGTTGAGGAACACTCAGAGGGAATTTTTTGGGGAGGAGGTTTGGAGGAAGAAAAAGTGGCTGCACTTTTGTTACAAGAACATTAAAAATGACATTTACACAGCGGCTTTTATGTCGGGAGGATGTCCCAAGGCCTGGGACAGTCAGGGATTTGGACCCAAGTGGGGGGTTGGGATCACGAGACGTGAAGGGCAGGTAAGGTAGGAGTATGAGGATGACTGAAGGCACGGTCGAAGAGGAGGGTCTTGAGACGTGCCTTGAAGGGGCTGAGGCGAAGGGACTGTGGAATGGAGTTCCAAAGGCAGAGAGACTAAAGGCCTCACAATGACCTCCTCTGCTGATGCTAGTGTTTGTGTAACAATCTAAAGCCTCGGGCTAATAACTTCCCCAGCACTTTTTCCCAGAAACGCAGCAGTCTTGCCTTCCCAGCCAAGCCACAGGCCTTTTGTAGTCGCATTGTTTCTGCCGCTTTAGAGAGACAACTTGCCTGTCACAGGAATGTGGAGAGCTGTTATGGATGGTTTTGTTTTGTTTTATCACACCGGGTTATAATTAGTTACTGGAATGAATGAGGCTAGAACTTGGCAACCGGAGAGGTGCTGGTTACTCTAGCGTTTAAACCGGCACCGCAGTCCCATTCCTGCAAGAACAGCGATCTCAGAGGCTGGCTTTGTGTTGTTTAGTGCAGTCTGACTAACCTGCTGTCATTTTAGCTGGACAAAGCCGTGCACTATCTAATAGTAATAATAATAATAATTATGATTGTTTGTGGGACTTTGCTGAGTTTGCCTCCACAATACACAGTCACTACACTTTACAATACAATCCTATGAAGAGCTTTGAGACGTCCTCTCGACGGCGCTGTATTGAATGCCATGATTATTGTTGTTATTATTAAACTAACAAGTGCAAACAGAACTGTCCTCACTTTAAAGCAAACCGTGGTGAGGAGGTATCTGGCGTGCGGTACGCACAGACAAACTGGTTTAGTTTAGAGGGAGTTAGTAGAGGAGCACTATATTATGATCAGTTCTGAGAGGCAGTGCACACAAAGCAATGAGTATTGATGACCAGACACATTCCTTTAGCGACTGATGTTGGCCTGTTAATGACCACAGGACATGGTGAGTCCTTCTCCCACCCCCACCCCCCTCGTCCCCCAACTGTACAGCTGGCTGTGGTTCTCAGTGCCACTGCCCTTCTTTTGTTCCCATTTGTTGCCCTCGCAGTGACTAAACATCTCGCTGACGTATTCCCAACTCTCCCAGCCATTCTTCCTGTTCAACACACGCACGTCAGCTACTCGCTGGCTGGCTTTATTCCCGCAGAGACACGGCCTCCGAGCCAGAGACTACATGTTCCTCCAATGTGTGATCGGGAGAGATCTGCTGGGCCGGGGTGGGGGTTCATTTCTTCATCTTCCTCTGCTCCCCGCCCGGTCCCCAGCCTAAAGCAGAAGAGACGCGCTCCTGAGCAAACAGCGAAAAACAACAACAACAACAAATTGCATTTATACAGCGCCCTTCACACATGGCAAAGCAGACTAACTGCAACAAATATTCCACCTTCACTCCCCAATTCCCCCAGACCTCCACTCCCCCCACTACTCTGTACCCACTCCCTCCTCCTCCCACTCCGTTCCCTGGGGAACCAACTGCACATGATGGCCGCCCATTAGAGACCCTGGTGTCAGGCTGACAGGCAGTGTGCGGGTGGGTGGGTGGGGGGGTGGGGGGGGGGTTAACTTGAGCTCAGCTCATCCTTAATGGGGCTGAATGGCTGTGGCGCGGCTGACAGCTTAACGGCGTTTACTTTTGTTTCAGTCTCTCCAGCCTCGCTCGGCCGCCATGGCAACCAGGACGGGCTTTATCTCCTCCTCAGCTGCACTCGCCAACCTGCGGGGGCGACAAGATCCCCCGCCTCCATGGCCCACCTCCTATTCCCCCCTCCCCCGCAGCCAATCCACCCCACCATCGACAGACGAGCTTTCAGCCATTCTGGCCCCCTCCCCACACATACTCTTGAACTTCATCTCGGAGTTCCTCAGCCTCCCCTCCTCACTCACTCTCCATCTCTCTCTCTTCCACCACACTTTTGGTCATCACCCCCTCTCCCTCCCCCTCCTCCCTGTCCACAGTAAAGCATTTTCAGCACTTTCAACGTCCCACAGACAAACGCACGGAGTGGATGCTCACTGGGATCTGGGGGATTGTCGGTCAGGACAATTTGGGGTAAATATTAAATATATAACTTAGAATTGTATTTAAGTATAGAATTTGGGACGGATATTAAATGGGTGTGAATTGAACCTCACACCAGGAGCTTTCTACAGTATGAGTGAGTTTATTCCTCTGACTGGTCATTGGAACGGTGAGATATCAGCTGGTGAGCGTAGGGCAGTGAGTGAGTGAGTGAGTGAGCGAGCGACTGAGTGAGTGACTAGGGATTGGAGGATTATTCTGTAACACGTTAACTTGATGATCGCTGATTGTTTTGTAGATTAATTTGATCCAAAACCTCGCTAACATTTATTATCTGTGAGTAAGAATTAGTTAGTGAGGGAGTTAATGAGTGAGTGGGTGGGTGGATGAATTAATGAGCGAGCAAGCTACTTAGCTAGCTAGTGAGCTAGTGAGTTGAATACTAGATCTTGACAACTTGGGGAGTTCAGTGAGAGAGCACAGTGACACTGAAGTGGACTGAGGGAAGCTGGTTTGAAGCAGCGATCTATGAAACACAGTGATTTCCCCGGTGATGAGCTCGCTCTCGGGAAAGTCTGAATCCTTTACAGTGGCTTCTCCGTGATTTTATTTTTCCAAACTATTTTAATTCTTTCTAGGAAGGAAGAGGAAGAACAAACATGTGCCGACAATTAGCCACATTCGGGGTGTGTCTGAGCGCCGTCCTGGTGAGCATTTAGCTTTGTTGTAATGTATTAGTTACTGTCTCACTAGCCTGTGCTCTGTGCTCTTTGCCCTGTGCCCTGTGCTCTCTGTGCCCTGTCTGTGCCCAGTGCACTGGGTCCTGCCCTGTGCCGTGTGCCCTCAAGGCTCTGTTCTCGGTCCCCTCCTCTTCAATCTTTACATGCATGATGTCATCCGCAGGCATGGGGTCAATTTCCACACGTATGCGGATGACACCTAACTATCTCACCGCCTCCACCCTCGACTCTAGGACCATTGATATTCTGGCAAATTGCCTGTCTGACATCAAGTCCTGGACGAGAGACAACTTCCTCCAGCAATGTTGACAAGACACCCTCTGCTCAGTGGACACTGGCCTGCTTCAGGTCCCCCGCACTTCCCACCCCACCATTGGTGGTCGGGCATTCGGCGTCTCTGCCCCAACACTCTAGAACTCTGTCCCCCAACCCCTTCCTTGCCTCCTTCAAGTCCCATCTAAAGATCTTCCATTTCGACCGTGACTTCGACCACACGCACACCCTCCACCCCTCCTGATCCCAATCCCAACTCGGATGCGGATCCCTGACTGTCCAGCGTCTTGGGAGGTCCATCTGATGTGAAAGGCACTATACAAATGTCATTTGTTGTTGTTGCTCTGTGCCCTGTGCCCCACTGTCATGTTCCCCCAACTCCTCCCCCCAGGTCTGCAGTCTGACCACAGCACCAGCACTCCCAGGTAAGCTTGCTCACATTAACCTAATTACCCACATAACACTAACCTAATTACTGATATAACACTAACTTAATTACTGATATAACACTAACCTAATTACTGATATAACACTAACTTAATTACTGATATAACACTAACCTAATTACTGATATAACACTAACCTAATTACTGATATAACACTACCCTAATTACTGATATAACACTAACCTAATTACTGATATAACACTAACCTAATTACTGATATAACACTAATCTAATTACTGATATAACACTAATCTAATTACTGATATAACACTAGCCTAATTACTGACATAACACTAGCTAATTACTGATATAATGCTAACCTAATTACTGATATAACACTAGCCTAATTACCGATATAACACTAACCTAATTACTGATATAACACTAGCCTAATTACCGATATAACACTAGCCTAATTACCGATATAACACTAGCCTAATTACCGATATAACACTAGCCTAATTACCGATATAACACTAGCCTAATTATCGATATAACACTAACCTAATTACCCACATAACACTAGCCTAATTACTGATATAATGCTAACCTAATTACTGATATAACACTAGCCTAATTACTGATATTACACTAGCCTAATTACCGATATAACACTAGCCTAATTACTGATATAACACTAGCCTAATTACCGATATAACACTAACCTAATTACTGATATAACACTAACCTAATTACCGATATAACACTAGCCTAATTACTGATATTACACTAGCTTATTTATCGATATAACACTAACCTAATTACTGATATAACACTAACCGAATTACCCACATAACACTAACCTAATTACTGATATAACACTAGCCTAATTACTGATATAACACTAACCGAATTACCCACATAACACGAACCTAATTACTGATATAACACTAGCCTAATTACTGATATAACACTAGCCTAATTACCGATATAACACTAACCTAATTACCGATATAACACTAGCCTAATTACCGATATAACACTAGCCTAATTACTGATATAACACTAGCCTAATTACCGATATAACACTAGCCTAATTATACCGATATAACACTAGCCTAATTACCGATATAACACTAACCTAATTACTGATATAACACTAGCCTAATTACTGATATAACACTAACCTAATTACCCACATAACACTAGCCTAATTACTGATATAACACTAGCCTAATTACTGATATAACACTAGCCTAATTACTGATATTACACTAGCCTAATTACCGATATAACACTAGCCTAATTACTGATATAACACTAACCTAATTACCCACATAACACTAACCTAATTACCCACATAACACTAGCCTAATTACTGATATAACACTAGCTTAATTACCGATATAACACTAACCTAATTACTGATATAACACTAACCTAATTACTGATGTAACACTAGCCTAATTACTAATATAACACTAACCTAATTACTGATGTAACACTAGCCTAATTACTGATATAACACTAACCTAATTACCGATATAACACTAACCTAGTTACCTATAATTACCACATAACACTAACCTAATTACCCACATAACACTAGCCTAATTACCGATATAACACTAGCCTAATTACTGATATAACACTAGCTTAATTACCGATATAACACTAACCTAATTACTGATATAACACTAACCTAATTACCCACATAACGCTAACCTAATTACCGATATAACACTAGCCTAATTACCGATATAACACTAGCCTAATTACCGATATAACACTAGCCTAATTACCGATATAACACTAGCCTAATTACCGATATAACACTAGCCTAATTACCGATATAACACTAGCCTAATTACCGATATAACACTAGCCTAATTACCGATATAACACTAGCCTAATTACTGATATAACACTAGCCTAATTACCCACATAACACTAACCCAATTACTGATATAACGCTAACCTAATTATCCACATAACACTAACCTAATTATCCACATAACACTAACCTAATTATCCACATAACACTAACCTAATTACTAATATAACACTCACCTAATCTTCTTTTATTTTCTATCTATCTTTTTCTATCTTAGAAAAGCTCTCAGTAACTGATTGATGTAGAGACATGATTGATATCTCATCGGAAAGGCCTTGCGTCTGGGAGTGACATGGGCATATTTGTTTTTGGGTATCTCGTATTGTTTACGAGTTATTTCAGTATTGCATTTTTTGCTGCAGTTACACCAGGTTGTTTGTCAAGTCAAAGTGGCGCTGTGGCATCCTGCATCACAGAGCATGCACGTAGCCAAGCGGCAGTGAGAACAAAATAAACAACACAGACGAAGCTAAGCCGCGGCGACAACAACAAAATTAAATTTTTAAAGCGTCTTTCACGCTGGGAGGATGTCCCAGTGATTATAAATTATATTGATCATTCGAAAGATGCCTAAGTGAAAATCAAAACAATCGAGGATAAGTCAGAATGCTAAACAAAAGAGAGAAGGCTCATTAAATGAAACTGAAGAACAAAGTCCTCCCACAGGAGTCCTCCCAGCTGAGTGTAGATAAAGATGAAATGTCTGTCTGTGTGTCAATCTATTTCCATATGGGATTTTTTGGTTCCAAAAAAAACCAATAATAAATTGGTCAGTTCAATCCATGACTGTTTGTGGGACATTGCTGTGCGCAATTGGCTGCCGCATTCGGCCACAAATACACAGTCAATTCACTTTACAGTGTGTTCTGTGAAGCGCTTTGGGACGTCCTCCCGACATGAAAAGCGCTATATCAAATGCAAGGATTATTATTATTATAACAAACCTAATTACCAATATAACACCTTTGCCTGAAAAAATTGAAATGAGAGCCCCAGACAGCTGGGAGTTTATTACTTGCTGTGTTTGAAGCTGACAGGAACTCATCGCTGGTGCTGCCGGACAGTGTGTATGAGTACGTGAGGCCCGGGCTGGCATGGGGGCAGGCCGGGGGGCACTGTGCCTTGGGCTATGGCAGCCTGGCGCTGGTCAGCACCGCTCGGGAGAGGACTGCGATCAGGCTACTCACTGCTCAGCTCGAGGCGGGGCCGGCGTGGGTCAGCGGGAGACCACTAGCAGACAGTAAGTGCACCTCTCCACAGTCATGCTTTCAGCCCCCCACCCAGGTTCGATTCCCGGGCAGGGCGGAACCTTCGGCAAGTTTTCTTACACTATACCCCTCTGTTTAGCAGGAACGCGTTTGTTAGCTTTTCTGGGGGTACTAACACCTTCAAAAAATATATATATAATAATAATTTGGTCACTCAATCCACAACTGTTTGTGGGACGCTGCTGTGCACAATTGGCTGCTACTACACTTTACAGTATATATTCGCCCACAAAATATACAAAATACACAGTCACTACACTTTACAGTGTATCCTGCGAAGCGCTTTGAGACGTCTTGTGATCAGGCGCTGTGTCAAATGCCAGGATTATTGTTATTGTTATTGTTTCCCCGCTAGCGGCCGAGCTCCCGGTGCTGATGTTCCAAAGCAAAACAGACAGCAAGTACGCCCGGCTGCTGAGGGCCCTGCCCTTGTTGCCAGGAGTGACGGTGTGTGCCCACGTGCAGTGGGATCGGCGCTCTCCAGGGATTGGCACCATCTTCTCCTATGCCGTGCCCGAGTTCCTGAATGCCCTCCAGCTGCGGGGACGAGGGGAGGGGGGGTGGGTGCAGCTGGCACTGATCGTGCAAGGTCACCACACGGCTTACGGGGCCGGGTTCAGGAACGACGGGCACTGGCACCACGTGTGTGCCACGTGGCAGGCGGGCGGTGGCACCTGGGCCATCTACGCGGACGGGGCAGAGGGCAGCTCGGGCCGCGGGCTGTACCAGGGCCAGCACATTCCCGGCAACGGCTCCTTCATCCTGGGGCAGGACCAGGACTCACTTGGGGGCTCGTTCGCCAGCAACGAGGCCTTCAGCGGGAATGTGACGGGGCTGAGCTTGTGGGCGCGGGCACTGGACACGGGCCAGCTGGCGGGGCTTAGCGTATGCTGGCGGCCCCCACGCAGCCTGATCTACACGTGGAGCATGCACACGCTACAGGTGGAGCCCACAGTGCGGACGGTCACGCTACACTTCCACTGTCCAGGTACCACAGTTTACACCCTCAAATCTCATTGTGGTCGCATTGTGGAGCCCTGTAGCTCAGTGGTTAGAGCACTTGCCTCACAAGCGAGAGGACCTGGGCGATACATTGTGCAAGTTTCCTTACTCCACACGCCTCTGTTTACCCAGCAGTAAATAGGAACCACGTTGTTTGTCGTTTGTCAGAATGCTTTTACGGGGGTAATAATCCCTTCAGAAAAAAAAATAATAATTTAGTCACTCAATGCACGGCTGTTTGTGGGACATTGCTGTGCGCAATTGGCTGCCGTGTTTCACCCACAAAATGTACAGTCAATTAACTTTACAGTATGTTCTGTGAACACTTTGAGACGTCTGAAGAACATGATGAGGCAATATATCAAATGCAAGGATTATTATTCTTTGTAAACAGAAATCGTAAGGAATATTGAAGCTGATAAGTCCCTGTCGGGCGTCAGTCTGCGGCTCAGTCGCTTGCGCTCCCCTGGGGTCGGGAGATTGTGGGTTCAAGCCCCTCAATTTGGGTACTTTGACCTGCACTGTCGGAGGTGCCAGATCCCATCTGTGCCTGTTCAGGCGGGAGTTTCTCTCTCCCAGTGCCCTGACCGATAATCCCCCGATACAATCATTTCGCAGCAGCTTGCAGATGTTCTGTGTGCTAATTGGCTGCGAAATGTGTCTATAATACACAGTCACTACACTTTACAGTTAAAATCCCGTGGTGCTGTTGTTTATAATGCCACCTGGGGTGTAAGATGAGTAACCCCAATCACCAGGAGAATAATCAACCGGAACAAAAAAACACCCACAATGTGTTTGTATAGCTTGCCCTCACGCAGGATAACGTGTGGCAACATTTAAACATGGGGCCAAACACAGTGATTTATCACCTGTGTGACTAACCCTGACCCAGCCAGGGTCAGCTATCCATCAGCTAAAATCGCTCGCTCAACAATGGCTGGTGTGGTTGACTGCCGCCGAAAACTGACCTGCGTGACTGCAAGCCGAAGCCCTAATGGGTAGGGTAGTTCTCACTGGACAAGCAGTGGGAGAGTTTGTCTGGCAGCAATATCAATGGCAAGTTATGCAATTTTAGCTGGTTAGACTCCAGCAGGTACCCCAACACACACTCTGGGTCCTCCCAAGCCTTGGCCTCATACTTATCTTACCTAATACTTTCCGGAATCTGGTAATCAGGATGTGTCCTTCCAGGGAGAAAGAGCGCATTCCATTCCAGCAATCTTATTTCTGGGATTTCCATGTGAAGATGGGATGCATGCAAATCTCAGCTTGATTTGGAGACTCAAGCACAGTGTTGGTTCGAATCCTACCTCTCCCACCATCTCCAATTTGTCGCCATTAACAGTTTTTCCTCTAGCCGCGGCCACACGTAGCAACCCTCAGGCTCTGTTCTTGTCCCTCTCCTTTTCGATGTCTACATGCTCCCTGATGTTGTTGGTGACATCTACATGATGTTACTGATATTATTTGCAGACATGGGATCAACTTCCACATGTATGTGGATGACACCCAACTGTACCTCTCTGCCTCCACCCTCGATTCCAGGACCCACTGCTGTCCTGACAGAATATCTGTCAGACATCAAGTCCTGGATGAGAACTAACTTTCTACAATTGAACGTCAGCAAGACCGAGGCTCCCGTCTTATTTGACCCTCAACTTTCTCCCCCATATCCATGCCATGACCGCTCTGCCTTCCCCCACCGCCACAACATTGGCCAATTCCGCCACTGCCTCACACCTCAGCCCTCCAAAACCTTCATAGATGCATTCATTACATCCAGACTTGTCGGCCTCCCCAACTCCTCCCTCCATAGGCTGCAGATCATCCAGAACTCTGCAGCCTGTGTCCTCTCCCACACCAGGCTCCATGACCCTGTCACCCCCATCCTCGCCCGACTCCACTGGCTTCCCATCACACAGAGGATACAGTTCCAAGATCCTGGTCCTCACTTTCAAAGACCTCCACAGTCTTGTTGCCCTCTGTCTCTGTGACTGCTTAATATTCTACCTATTTGCCCACTCCCTCCGCTCAGCGGGCTCCAGCCAGTTGCATGTCCCCTACCTTGCCATCATTGGCGGACGGACCTTCAGCCACTCTGCCCCACCCTCTCGAACTCCATCCTGCAGTCTCTTCGCCTTGCCCCCTCCATTGCCTCCTGCAAGACCCGTCTGAAGACCCACCTCTTTGACTGTGCCTTCGATCTTCCTCCTTCCCTCCCCTGCCCTCCACCTTCCCCAATCCTAACCCCCAGCTCGGGTCCAAAACACTGATTGTCCAATGCCTTGGGATGTCCTCCCGATGTGAAAGGCGCTATACATGTAATTTTGTTGTTGTTGTGATGGGATTCCACGTGTGTCAGACACTCGGCTGGCCCCAAAAAACACCTGTGACTAGAGCTGACCTGTTCCCTTCTCTCTGCTGCCCACAGTGCCTCACAACACCTGCCCCACGCTGGAGCCTGTGTCAGGAAGCCAAGGGCTTTATCACTGTGACGGTCCGTTACCTTTCATCTGCCAGGTCAGCACAGGTCAGTCGGCCCCTCACACACAACTCGCCTGACACACAGCTTTTTAAATACATTAAAAATACATATAAATGTCAATTTCTTTTTCTTTTCGCGGCGCCAAAGTTTTATTCTTGTGAATTTATGGACCAAGCGGGCCCCGTGAACACGCTCCTTGGAGAGAGAGGACTTTATTCCTGTGGATTTAGAGCACTCGCCTCACAAGCGAGAGACCTGGGTTCGATTCCCGGCAGGGCGAAATGTTGGACAAGTTTCCTTACTCCACACGCCTCTGTTTACCTAGGCGTAAATTAGTCAATTAGTGGATTTCCGGGGGTAATAATCGCTTCAAAAAAAAAATTTCAATAGCTAATCTGACCTCAGCAAACTTCACCTTGTTACAAAACTTTTGGTTATTTTCTGGGTACTTCATACTGGGAAGATTGCATTAAAATACTTTGGTATTTTTCCCAGTGTCCTGACTGACAGTCCCCCACATAAAATTGCTCGCTCACTCGCTTCACAGCTGTTTGCGGGACATTCTGGCCTACAAAACACAGTTACTACACTTAACAGTGGCTGGTGTGAAGCGCTGTGAGACGGTGCTGTTTGAAAGGGGAGGATTGTTATTACAGACTGCAGGCTGTGGGCATGGAGAGGGAGGCTGAGGGGGAGCTGGGGGTGGGGAGTGATCTCCGCTCTGTGTTGTAGCTGCGCAGCTGAAGCTGAAGGAACTGGAATCGGGCCCAGAAAGCTGGCTCCTCACCAAACTGGGGGGGCTCCCGGACAACAGCACGGTAAGCCCTCCCCACCCCCCCCCACACACACACACACAGCCCTCGCACACACACGGCCCTCGCACACACACGGCCCTCACACACACACGGCCCTCACACACACACGGCCCTCACACACACACACAGCCCTCGCACACACACGGCCCTCACACACACACGCCCTCACACACACACGCCCTCACACACACACGGCCCTCGCACACACACAGACACACACGGCCCTCGCACACACACGGCCCTCACACACACACGGCCCTCGCACACACACAGCCCTCACACACACACGGCCCTCGCACACACACGGCCCTCGCACACACACGGCCCTCGCACACACACGGCCCTCACACACACACGGCCCTCACACACACACACAGCCCTCGCACACACACGGCCCTCGCACACACACGGCCCTCGCACACACACAGCCCTCGCACACACACGGCCCTCGCACACACACGGCCCTCACACACACGCCCTCGCACACACACGGCCCTCGCACACACACGGCCCTCGCACACACACGGCCCTCGCACACACACGGCCCTCGCACACACACGGCCCTCGCACACACACGGCCCTCACACACACAGGGCCCTCACACACACACACGGCCCTCGCACACACACAGACACACACAGCCCTCGCACACACACACACGGCCCTCGCACACACACAGACACACACGGCCCTCGCACACACACGGCCCTCACACACACACGGCCCTCACACACACACGGCCCTCGCACACACACGGCCCTCGCACACACACGGCCCTCGCACACACACGGCCCTCGCACACACACGGCCCTCGCACACACACACGGCCCTCGCACACACACGGCCCTCGCACACACACAGACACACACAGCCCTCGCACACACACGGCCCTCGCACACACACGGCCCTCGCACACACACGGTCCTCACACACACACACGGTCCTCACACACACACACGGCCCTCGCACACACACGGCCCTCGCACACACACGGCCCTCACACACACACGGCCCTCACACACACACAAGGCCCTCGCACACACACGGCCCTCGCTCACACACAGCCCTCGCACACACACGGCCCTCGCAGAATTAGAGATGGAGGGAAGGTGGGGAAGAGACTGGAGGGAGAGGAGAGGAAGGGTGGGACGAGGGAGAGGGGGAATGGGGGAGGGTGTGTGTGTCCCCCTTCCCCCCACCACCCGTGTCACACAAATGCTGACACCTTGTGCGTTTCGCCCACAAAATACACAGTCACTCCACTTTACAGTGTATCCCATGAAGTGCTTTGAGACGTCTCAATGCAACAATAAGGCGCTGTGTCAAATGCAGTGATTATTATTATTATTGCTCGCGGGGCAGATGCTGGAGTTGCTGAGGTTGAGCGGCAGGAGGAGAGTGAGCAGTGTGCGGGAGGCAGGGGCTGTGATGGCTGCCGTGCGGGGGGCTCTGGTCGGGGGGAACAAGACGCTGACAGCCGGGGACGTGCTGCGGCTGGTGCGGCTGCTGGGGAACGTGGCAGAGACCCCGACTGGGGGCAACCAGAGCCGCTCTGTACCTGAGACCCTCGGCCACGATTTCCTGGAAGTTGCAAGTGCACTCCTCGACCAGAGCTACACGGCGACCTGGGGAGATATCAGCCAGGTAACCACACACACACACGGGATCAGCCAGGTAACCACACACACACACGGGATCAGCCAGGTAACCACACACACACGGGATCAGCCAGGTAACCACACACACACGGGATCAGCCAGGTAACCACACACACACGGGATCAGCCAGGTAACCACACACACACACGGATCAGCCAGGTAACACACACACACACGGGATCAGCCAGGTAACCACACACACACACACGGGATCAGCCAGGTAACCACACACACACACACGGGATCAGCCAGGTAACCACACACACACGGGATCAGCCAGGTAACCACACACACACACGGATCAGCCAGGTAACCACACACACACACACACGGGATCAGCCAGGTAACCACACACACACGGGATCAGCCAGGTAACCACACACACACCGGGATCAGCCAGGTAACCACACACACACACACGGGATCAGCCAGGTAACCACACACACACACGGGATCAGCCAGGTAACCACACACACACACACGGGATCAGCCAGGTAACCACACACACACGGGATCAGCCAGGTAACCACACACACACGGGATCAGCCAGGTAACCACACACACACGGGATCAGCCAGGTAACCACACACACACGGGATCAGCCAGGTAACCAGACACACACGGGATCAGCCAGGTAACCACACACACACACGGGATCAGCCAGGTAACCACACACACACACGGGATCAGCCAGGTAACCACACACACACACGGGATCAGCCAGGTAACCACACACACACGGGCTCAGCCAGGTAACCACACACACGGGATCAGCCAGGTAACCACACACAGACGCGGGATCAGCCAGGTAACCACACACAGACACGGGATCAGCCAGGTAACACACACACACGGGATCAGCCAGGTAACACACACACACACACACGGGATCAGCCAGGTAACCACACACACACACACGGGATCAGCCAGGTAACCACACACACACGGGATCAGCCAGGTAACCACACACACACGGGACAGCCAGGTAACCACACACACCACACGGATCAGCCAGGTAACCACAACACCACACGGGATCAGCCAGGTAACACACACACACACGGGATCAGCCAGGTAACCACACACACACACACGGGATCAGCCAGGTAACCACACACACACACACGGGATCAGCCAGGTAACCACACACACACGGGATCAGCCAGGTAACCACACACACACACACGGGATCAGCCAGGTAACCACACACACACACACGGGATCAGCCAGGTAACCACACACACACACACGGAATCAGCCAGGTAACCACACACACACACGGGATCAGCCAGGTAACCACACACACACACACGGGATCAGCCAGGTAACCACACACACACACACACGGGATCAGCCAGGTAACCCCACACACACACACGGGATCAGCCAGGTAACCACACACACACACGGGATCAGCCAGGTAACCCACCACACACACACGGGATCAGCCAGGTAACCACACACACACACACACGGGATCAGCCAGGTAACCCCACACACACACACGGGATCAGCCAGGTAACCACACACACACGGGATCAGCCAGGTAACCACACACACACACGGGATCAGCCAGGTAACCACACACACACACGGGATCAGCCAGGTAACCACACACACACACGGGATCAGCCAGGTAACCACACACACACGGGATCAGCCAGGTAACCACACACACACGGGATCAGCCAGGTAACCACACACAGACACGGGATCAGCCAGGTAACCACACACAGACACGGGATCAGCCAGGTAAACACACACACACGGGATCAGCCAGGTAACCACACACACACACAGGATCAGTCAGGTAACGCTCTGTGACGCTAAGCGTGAGGGCAATATCTAAATGCAAATTGTTGTAACGGCACGGGAGGGAGGGGCGATAGTCTGTAGGAAAAGGAAAGGTCTTGAGATGGACCTGGGAGGGCGGGAGGGAGCAAAGGAGCAAGCAATGGTGGGATTAAGCGAGAGAGGGAGGGATGGAATGAGGTAACAAGTGAGGGAGAGAACGACGGAGGGAGGGAGGGAGCTCAGAGAGTGCGAGCGGAATGCCTGAAAGTGGTGTCTTGGGAAAAAGTTGGATTAGGGAAGGATTATGGAGGGGAAAATAACATGCAAAACAGGTTATATTACACACCTCAGTGTGCGGTTAGGGTCAGTTAATGAACATAGTCCCTCTCCGCGGCTCAGGTGGTCCCAGGACCGATGGTGGTGGTCTCGGGGCTGGACAGGATGGTGCAGACCCTGAACAAGCTGCTTGCTCCTGACACCCGGGAAATGGTCATTAAATGCCAAAACATCCGTGAGTGTCAGCCAGAATATTACTGTGGCGTCTCGCACACGTGTCACATACCACTTTACACGCTACTGTGTCAGCCCGTGGTTCAGTCACCCACTCGCTCGCTCGCTCGCCTCTGGTTATGGGTTGAAGCCTCACACGTGTCAAGGACACTGAGCTCACAGTCCAGGCTGTAGCTCCAGCACAACGCTGGGGGAGGGGAGAGTGCCGCATTATCAGAGACGCCATCCTCCAAATGAGATGTTAAACCTCCCCCCCCCCCCCCCCGGCTGTGCCCTGTTCAGTTGGATGTTAAAGATCCCGCAGCGCTGTTAGAAGAGTAGGTCCTGGCCAACAATCCCCCAGACACAATCACACATTCACTTCGTGGCTGTTTGTGGGGAAGTTGCCGTATGCCAATGGGCTGCTGGGTTCACCCACAAAACACACAGTCACTGCACTTTATAGTGAAATGCTGTGAAGCGCTCTTAGACGACTTCCCAATGTGAAAGGCGTACATCAAATGCAAGGATTGGGATTGATATTGTTATTATTACTATTATTAATCACTCCCACCCTACCCTCGCTCGCCTCCACTGGCTCCCCATCCCCCAGAGGATTGATTTCAAGATCCTCATCCTCACCTACAAGGCCATTCACGGCCTCGCTCCCTCCTACCTCTCCGACCTACTATCCCCCTACCTACCTGCCCGTACCCTCCGTTCCTCTGGCTCCGGTCTGCTCCACGTCTCCCGCCCCAACCGCTCTACCATCGGTGGTCGGGCCTTCAGCCTCTCAGCCCCTAGGCTCTGGAACTCTATCCCCCAGTGCCTTCACCGCCTCCTCCCTCTCCTCCTTCAAGGCCGGTCTCAAAACCTTTCTCTTTGACCGAGCCTTCAGCTCCCCTCTCGACTCTCTTCCCCCTCCTCGCTCCTCCCTTCCCTCCCCTCACCCTGACCATTTCCCCCCTCCTCGCTCCCTCCCTTCCCTCCCCTCACCCTGACCATTTCCCCCCCAATGCTCGGGTCCTGACCCAACTGTGCAGTACCTTGGGACGTCCTCCTGACGTGAAAGGCGCTTTATAAATGGAATCTTGTTGTTGTATTGTTGTTATTACTTTAATGATTACTTTATTATTATAATAAATACTGCCATTACTGTAATGATTATTGCTATTACTATAATAATTCCTGTTATTCCTATATGGATTATTGCTGTCACTGTTGGATGTCCGGGCCCCAAGGATTGGCTTGATGTTGTGGCTCCTTGTTTTACAGACCTGGAAATGCGAGAGGAAAGGCTGAGCGATGTGACTGGTGGGGTTGGGGCTGATTTTGGGGCTGGGGTTGAGGATAGTATCATTGTCCCTGGGGAAGCTGTGACCAAACTACGACAAAGAGATGAGTATTGCTCCCCGCCCCCAGGCCCCCCGCCCCTCTCTGCCATCCTCACCCACAGCAAATTCAACCCAGTCTCAACCATCAGACTATTTCACCCCGGCCAAAAAAAAATTAAGATTGGGTAGAATTGTGCAAAATGCTCATTTCTCTACGGTTCTTAACCAAAGGGCTCTGCATCAAACTGAGATTAAGAATTTGGTTTGATGTCATAAGGTGCTATTAAACATTTACGTATCTCTTTTCTCTCTTTTCATTCATTTGTTCTTTTTTTTAAAAAAATTCAGACTTGTTCGTCCTTCCTTTCGCTCTTTCTTTGGAACACTCTCCCTCAATCGCTCTGCCTTCTTCCTCTCTCTGATTTTTCAAGTCCAGCCTGAAAACCTTCTTTTGCGACCGTGCTTTCGGTCACCTTTCCAACCGCCCGCCCCCCACTGCCCCCCACCGGTCCAAAGTTGGACTCCGCCACTGTTAAGCGCTCTGAGACACTACCCGGATGGCTCTATATAAGTGCAAGTTGTTGTTTCTTTTTTCTTTTTCTCTCTCTCTCACAAATGAAGATTTCATGACCAGTGAATTAAACCTATTGTGTCCCCCCACACGTGCAGGCTCTGTAATGGCCCACATTGTCAGTGTAAGGTACCGGACACTGCACACTTTGCTGGCAAACAGGACAGTCCACGGCAGCCACTTGAGGACAACAGCTCACGCCGAAGGATTCAAGTGAGTGAAGTGTCCAAATGTTACAGATACTCAGAAATGCGCTCCTCCTTTCTGGACTGTTTTCCCCTGAGTTTAATTACAGACAGTCAGCGATGCCGGCATTTTGTGTTTTTTATTTTTATGTACAGTAATTTATTTTATTTAATTTTTTTACCCACAAACCAGTCACTCCACTTTATAATATAATCTGTGAAACGCTTCAACTATATCAAATGCAAGGATTATTATTGTTATTATTATTATAGTTATTATTGTTACTGTTATTATAATGGAGTCCTGTAGCTCAGTGGTTAGAGCGCTCGTCTCGCAATCAAGCGGCCTGGGTTTGATTCCCGGCAGGGTGAAATGTTGGCCAAGTTTATTTACTCAACACGTCTCTGTTTACCCAACAGTAAGTAGGAACCCGTTTGTTAGTCGATTGGTGGATCGCTTTTCCGTGGTAATAATTCCTTAAAAAAATTAATTGGTCACTCAATCCACTGTTTGTGGGACATTGCTGTGCGCAATTGGCTGCCGCGTTTCACCCACAAATATACAGTCAATTCACTTTACAGTATATTCTGTGAAGCACTTTGAGACGTCTTGAAGACATGATCAGGCACTGTATCAAATGCGAGGATTATTGTTACTATTATTATTGTTGTTATTACTCCCCAGACATGTGGGCACATTGCTGGCCTCGGCGGTCGTTTCGGCCACGGTGTTCCAGGCCGGGAAACCCGTCAGCACAGCCATACACTACAGACTGCAGCACAGAGTACAGGTCAAGCCCCGGCACAGCCTCCCCCACTGCCCAAACACAGCCGCCCCCACTGCCCAAACACAGCCGCCCCCACTGCCCAAACACAGCCGCCCCCACTGCCCAAACACAGCCGCCCCCACTGCCCAAACACAGCCTCCCCCACTGCCCAAACACAGCCTCCCCCACTGCCCAAACACAGCCTCCCCCACTGCCCAAACACAGCCGCCCCCACTGCCCAAACACAGCCGCCCCCACTGCCCAAACACAGCCTCCCCCACTGCCCAAACACAGCCGCCCCCACTGCCCAAACACAGCCGCCCCCACTGCCCAAACACAGCCTCCCCACTGCCCAAACACAGCCTCCCCCACTGCCCAAACACAGCCGCCCCCACTGCCCAAACACAGCCGCCCCCACTGCCCAAACACAGCCTCCGCCACTGCCCAAACACAGCCGCCCCCACTGCCCAAACACAGCCGCCCCCACTGCCCAAACACAGCCTCCCCCACTGCCCAAACACTGCCTCCCCCACTGCCCAAACACAGCCGCCCCCACTGCCCAAACACAGGGCTACTCTGCGACACCCAAATATTCACCCTTTAGTCTCTCTCTGTCTTTGTCAGTCTCTCTCTCTCTCTGTCAGTCTCTCTCTCTCTCTCTGTGTCCCTCTCAATCTCTCTCTCTCTCTCTCTGTCCCTCTCAGTCTCTCTCTCTCTCTGTCGCTCTCAGTCTCTCTCTGTCGCTCTCAGTCTCTCTCTGTGTCCCTCTCAGTCTCTCTCTCTCTCTCTGTCCCTCTCAGTCTCTCTCTCTGTGTCCCTCTCAGTCTCTCACTCTCTCTGTGTCCCTCTCAGTCTCTCTCTCTCTCTCTCTGTGTCCCTCTCAGTCTCTCTCTCTCTCTCTCTGTCCCTCTCAGTCTCTCTCTCTCTGTGTCTCTCTCAGTCTCTTTCTCTCTCAGTCTCTCTCTCTCTCTCTGTCTCTCTCTCTCTCTGTCTCTCTCAGTCTCTCTCTCTCTCTGTGTCCCTCTCAGTCTCTCTCTCTCTCTGTCTCTCTCAGTCTCTCTCTCTCTCTGTGTCCCTCTCAGTCTCTCTCTCTCTGTCTCTCTCTCTCTCTCTCTCTTTCTCTCTCTGTGTCCCTCTCAGTCTCTCTCTCTCTCTCTCTCTCTCTCTGTCTCTCTCAGTCTCTCTCTCTCTCTGTCTCTCTCTCTGTGTCCCTCTCAGTCTCTCTCCCTCTCCCTGTCTCTCTGTCTCTCTCTCTCTCACTGGGGTTGGGTGGGTGTTGAGGGGATCTGGTGCAGTATAAAGTACAGCAGTGTAAGATGTCACTCTCTTGGTGCAGACTCCCCCCAGACTGCTCGCTGACCCAGTCTGTGTGTTCTGGGATTTCAGTCTGCGGTGAGTACCTCACACTAACCTCACACTAACAACAACAACTTGCATTCACATAGTGCCCTTTACGAGGGGTAGGGTCCCGGAGTGCTTGACCGTGGGAAAGTCTGACTCCGAGCCAGCGGAACAGAGAGGGGGGAGGTGACTGTAAACATGATCAAAAAGGAAGGTCTTTACGAGATTTGAAAGGGGTGGGGAGGGGGTAAGGGGGAGGGATTGGGAAAGGGAGTTCCAGCGTTTCGGGTGGTAGTGTCTGAAGGCCCGGCTACCGATGGTGGAGGGGAGGGGGTGAGGGATGAACAGGAGGCTGGAGCCGGCCAAGCAGAAGCAGCGGGTGGTGGAGTGGGGGGGTAAGCAGGTCGGAGAGGTAGGGAGGTGCGAGGGCCAAAGGGATTTGAAAACAAGTGAGAGGATCTTGAAGTCGATCTGTTCAGTGCTGTGGAGCCTGGCAAGGGCTGGGGTAATGGGGGTACCGAGTTTTATGCGGGTGAGTATCTGAGTGGCAGAGTTCTGAATTAATTGGATTTTGTGTGTGGTGGAACTGGGGAGACCAGCGAGGAGGACATTTGAAAAATCCAGCAAGAAAGTGACAAAGGCCTGGACGAGGGATTCGACTGCTGTGGTTTTGAGGTGGACAATGTGGCAGAGGTGGAGAAAAGCCTTCCTGGTCAGGGAACGGATGTGGGGGAGAAAGGAAAGCCGGGGATCGAACCTGATGCCTAAATTGCTCATGGGTTCAGTGAGTCTGAGGGAGCACGCGGGGAGGTTGAGGAGTTCGGACACTCAGGAGAGAAGGTATTGACGGGAGCCAAAGAGCATGGCTTCCATCTTACTGACAAGACATCAGTGAACTGGGAATCGCAGCTTTAGGAGGCGGAGAAGTAGAGTTGGGTGTCATCCGCATACATGTGGAAGTTGACCGCATGTCTTCAGATGACATTGCCCAGAGGGAGCAGGTAAAGGATGAACACAAGGATGGAGCCTTGCGTTACCACACCGGTGATCTGGTGGGCGGGAGCAGAAACCGTTTGCCTCACAATAACCTCACACTAACCTCACACTGCTCTGTGTGTGGAACTGTGACGTCTCCCCTTCTTACAGACATTGTTGTGAATGAGGGAGCTGTTGAGTATCTCTGCGTGTGTCTGTGGTGTCTCCATATCTCTGTGTCACCTGCAAAGCCCTCTACCGTCTTACTCCCTCTCCGACCCCGTAACCCCATATCTCTGTGTGTTGCAGCTCGGCAAGGCCTGGGGGCTGGTCATCGCGGGGCTGTGAGGTGCTGGAGACCATCCGGGGAGCCACACTCTGTGCCTGTAATCACTCCACTAACTTCGCTTTGCTGTTCCAGCTGTACCACGTTCAGGTAAACGCCCAAAAAAGGTCTGGTTTGGTTTTGCTTTTGTAAAATATTAGGAATACACGAATTGCTCGACCAAAATCCCCCCCCCACCCCCCAGGTCCATCTGGTTCACCTTCCACCATCCTGGTGGTCGTTTGCTACAATTAATACGAATGGTGTCGGCTGTGTTGAGACCAGCAACAGAGCTGAGTGGCCACACAGTGTGTAAACACAGACAATCCTTCGTCTTCTCTGGAGGAGAGAGAGCGAGAGAGGGAAGGGGGAGAGAGAGAGAGCGAGAGAGGGAAGGGGAGAGAGAGAGAGAGAGAGAGAGAGGGAGAGAGAGATTGAACCCACAACCTTGTGACGGAGGCGAGTGTTACCGGCTGAGCCGGGCTGCCATCCGGTGGCTAACGATAGTGATGCCAGTTGACACAGAGAATGCCTTGCGGGTTCACCGTGCTGTGTAGTGACCGTGCTGTGTAGTGACCCTGCTGTGTAGTGACCGTGCGGTGTAGTGACCGTGCTGTGTAGTGACCCTGCTGTGTAGTGACCGTGCGGTGTAGTGACCGTGCTGTGTAGTGACCGTGCTGTGTAGTGACCGTGCGGTGTAGTGACCGTGCGGTGTAGTGACCGTGCGGTGTAGTGACCGTGCGGTGTAGTGACCGTGCGGTGTAGTGACCGTGCGGTGTAGTGACCGTGCGGTGTAGTGACCGTGCGGTGTAGTGACCGTGCGGTGTAGTGACCGTGCGGTGTAGTGACCGTGCGGTGTAGTGACCGTGCGGTGTAGTGACCGTGCGGTGTAGTGACCGTGCGGTGTATTTACAGAGGAGTTCGCATGACGACGCTGCCCTACGGAAGCTCTCTCTGGTTGGCTGTGGTGTGTCTCTCGTGGCTCTGGCCCTGACCCTCCTCGTGTTCTCTTTTGTGGGGTGAGCACTTTACTGACACACACACACGACTCTACACACCCACCCGCACACACACCCACCCGCACACACACACCCACCCGCACACACACACACCCACCCGCACACACACACACCCGCGCACACACCCACCGCGCACACACACCCACCCGCACACACACACACCCACCCGCACACACACCCACCCGCGCACACACCCACCCGCGCACACACCCACCCGCAAACACACACACACCCACCCGCACACACACACACCCACCCGCACACACACACACCCGCGCACACACCCACCCGCGCACACACCCACCCGCGCACACACCCACCCGCACACACACACACCCACCCGCACACACACCACCCACCCGCGCACACACCCACCCGCGCACACACCCACCCGCGCACACACCCACCCGCGCACACACCCACCCGCGCACACACCCACCCGCGCACACACCCACCCGCGCACACACCCACCCGCGCACACACCCACCCGCGCACACAACAAGATTCCATTTATTGAGCGCCTTTCACGTCGGGGAGGACGTCCCAAGGCGCTGCACAGTTGGGTCATGACCCGAGCATTGGGGGGAAATGGTCAGGGTGAGGGGAGGGAGGGAGCGAGGAGGGGGAAATGGTCAGGGTGAGGGGAGGGAAGGGAGGGAGCGAGGAGGGGGAAATGGTCAGGGTGAGGGGAGGGAAGGGAGGGAGCGAGGAGGGGGAAGAGAGTCGAGAGGGGAGCTGAAGGCTAGGTCAAAGAGAAAGGTTTTGAGACCGGCCTTGAAGGAGGAAAGGGAGGAAGCGGCGAAGGCACTGGGGGATGGAGTTCCAGAGCCTCGGGGCTGAGAGGCTGAAGGCCCGACCACCGATGGTAGGGCGGTTGGGGCGGGGGACGTGGAGCAGACCGGAGCCAGAGGAACGGAGGGTACGGGCAGGTAGGTAGGGGGATAGTAGGTTGGAGAGGTAGGAGGGAGCAAGGCCGTGAATGGCCTTGTAGGTGAGGATGAGGATCTTGAAATCAATCCTCTGGGGGATGGGGAGCCAGTGGAGGCGAGCGAGGGTGGGAGTGATGTGGTCCGCGAAGCCTGGTGCGGGACAGTACACGAGCTGCAGAGTTCTGAATGACCTGCAGCTTGTGGAGGGAGGTGGCGGGAAGGCCGGCGAGGAGAGAGTTCCCATAGTCCAGCCTTGAGGTGACAAAGGCGTGAACCAGGGTTTCAGCAGCGTGAGGGGTGAGGTAGTGCCGTAGTCTGGCGATATTCCGGAGGTGATGGAAGGCGGTGCCAGTTGTGGTGCGGATGTGAGGGAGAAAGGACAGCTCAGGGTCGAACAAAACGCCGAGGTTCCTGACTGGCTTTGAGAGGTGGAGAGTGCAGCCTTGGATGCTGATGGTGTCAGCGCCTGAGGTGCGGAGGCGCTGACGTGAGCCAATCAGGAGGGCCTCGGTTTTTCGCACGTTGAGCTGAAGAAAGTTGTCTCTCGTCCAGGACTCGATGTCGGACAGGCAGCTGTCAGGACATCGGTGGTCGTGGAGTTGAGAGTAGAGGAGGAAAGGTAGAGTTGGGTGTCATCCGCATACATGTGGAAGTTAACCCATGTCTGCGGATGATGTCCCCAGGGGGAGCATATAGAGGGTGAAGAGGAGGGGACCGAGGACAGAGCCCTGAGGGACACCACATGAGACAGTACGGGGGGTGGAGGAGAAGCCATTCGTTGAGACAAAGTGAAGACGGTGAGAAAGGTACGACCTAAACCATTCAAGGACAGTGCCTTGAAGGTTGAGGTGGGAGGACAAGCGGTGGAGTAGGATAGCGTGGTCGACCGTATCGAATGCTGCCGATAGGTCGAGGAGGACGAGGAGACAGAGGGAGCCCTGGTCACAGATGGTCAGGATATCATTGGTGACCTTGACCAGGGCAGTTTCTGTGCTATGGGCAGCACGGAAACCTGACTGAAGGGGTTCGAAAAGAGAATGGGTGGAAAGGAAAGAGCGCAGTTGGGAGGCGACAACTCTTTCCAAGACCTTGGAGAGAAAGGGGAGGTTGGAGATGGGCCGGTAGCTTGATAGCTGCGACGCATCAAGGGAGGGTTTTTTCAGGGTGGGCGTGATGATGGCAGTTTTTAATGGAATGGGGACAGAGCCAGAGGAGAGGGACAGGTTGATGATGTCAGTGATATGTGGGGCAAGAAAGTGGAGCTGGGAGATAAGGAGTGGAGTGGGGATGGGGTCAAGGGAGCAGGTGGTTGGTTTTAGGGATAGGATGAGTTCAGTGACAGAGGGTGGGGAAACGGGTACGAAGGTGTGTAGGGGAGGATGGGTAGGAGTCGGAGTGTGGGAGGGAAGGGGTGGGTGGTGGGTGGAAGTTGGAGGGGAAGTGACCGCGGAGCGGATTCCCTTGATCTTGGATTCAAGGAAATCCAGCATCTCCTCGCAGTGAAGGTTGGAGGAGATGACCTGCGCGGGGTGGCGGGGGGGACGGAGGAGTCGGGTTGTGGTGGAAAACAGTAGCCTGGGGTTGTTCTTCGCCTCCAGGATTATCCTGGAGTAGAAGGACGACTTGGCCGAGGCTAGAGTGGAGCGGTAAATTTTGAGGAGGTCCAGCCAGATTTGTCGGTGGACACACCCACCTGCGCACACACCCACCCGCACACACACATCCACCCGCACACACACCCACCCGCGCACACACCCACCCGCGCACACACCCACCCGCCACAACGCACACACCCACCCGCGCACACACCCACCCCGCACACACCCACCCGCGCACACACCCACCCGCGCACACACCCACCCGCGCACACACCCACCCGCGCACACACCCACACAAACACACCCACCCGCACACACACCCACACAAACACACACACACAAACACATCCATACCCACACACACATACAGCCCCACACACCCACCTTCACAAACACATACACACACAGCCACACCCCCACATGCACATGAAACCCCCGCCACACACAGCCCCACCACAAACACACACGCACACAAACCACACACAAACATACCCCCCCAAACATACACACATACACACATAACCCCTTGCCCCACCCCCAACACACACACAGCACAGCTCTGCCACTCACTCTCTGAACTCCAGGTCAGTAGGTTGTGGGTTCAAGCCCCACAGTCCAGGTGCTCCAGCGAGGAGCTGGTGGGAGGGAGAACGCTGCATTGTCAGAGACGCCGTCCTTTGGGTGAGACATTAAACCTCACTCCCTGTCAAGGCTCTGGGAATGCTCCACACACAACACTGAGGAGAGAGAGAGGAAGAGGTGGGATTGGGGAAGGTTGGGATCTCAGCGTCTCTCGTGACTTTGCGACGTAAACGGTTTAAACTGTGCTTCGCTCTGTCCGAGTGCTCAGGGCACTGGAGACAGTACAATACACAATACAAAATGACATTTGTTTCACCTTTCACATCGGGAGGACGTCCCAAGGCACTGGACAGTCAGGGTGTTAGGATCAGGGAGGGTGGAGGGCAGGGAGGGTGGAGGGCAGGGAGGGTGGAGGGCAGGGAGGGTGGAGGGCAGGGAGGGTGGCTGAAGGCACGGTCGAAGAGGAGGGTTTGGATGTGCGCCTTGAAGGAGGCAAGGGAGGGAGCGAGGCAAAGGGAATGTGGGATGGAGCTCCAATGGCTGGGGGCAGAGAGGCTGAAGGCCTGTCCGCTGATGGTAGGGGGAGGTGTGGGCGGGGGATGTGAAGCAGGCTGAGCGGAGGGAGCGGACGGGTTGATAATGGATTAGCACAGGGGCAAGGCTGTGTTAGAATGGGGGGTTCCGTGCGCTGGCTCACCGCTCGCTCGTGCACTCGACACAGACTGTGTTTATAATCTCACAGCATCCCGAAGTCAGACCGAATCACCGTCCACAAAAACCTGGCGAGTGCCCTGTTGTGTGCTCAGGCACTGCTGCTGGCCAGCGAGAGAGCCCGAGGCAACCAGGTACCTGCTCACTCCCCTCCGCTCCCCTCCCCTCCGCAACCAGGTAACTGCTCATCCCTCCCCCGCAACCAGGTACTGCTCACTCCCCTCCCTCCCTCCGCAACCAGGTAACTGCTCACTCCCCTCCCCTCCGCAACCAGGTACCTGCTCACTCTCCCTCCGCTCCCTCCCTCCGCAACCAGGTAACTGCTCACTCCCCTCCCTCCGCAACCAGGTACCTGCTCACTCCCTCCGCTCCCCTCCCTCCGCAACCAGGTAACTGCTCACTCCCTCCCCTCCGCAACCAGGTCACTGCTCACTCCCTCTCCCCCTCGCCCTCCGAACCAGGTAACTGCTCACTCCCTCCGCTCCCCTCCCCCGCAACCAGGTAACTGCTCACTCCCCTCCCTCCGAACCAGGTACCTGCTCACTCCCCGCTCCCCTCCCCTCCCCCAACCAGGTAACTGCTCACTCCCCTCCGCTCCCCTCCCCTCCGCAACCAGGTAACTGCTCACTCCCCTCCCCTCCGCAACCAGGTACCTGCTCACTCCCCTCCGCTCCCCTCCCCTCCGCAACCAGGTACCTGCTCACTCCCCTCCCTCCCCTCCCCTCCGCAACCAGGTAACTGCTCACTCCCCTCCCCTCCCCAACCAGGTAACTGCTCACTCCCCTCCCCAACCAGGTAACTGCTCACTCCCTCCCCTCCCTCCCAACCAGGTACTGCTCACTCCCCTCCGCTCCCCAACCAGGTAACTGCTCACTCCCCTCCCCTTCCCCTCCGCAACCAGGTAACTGCTCACTCCCTCCCTCCCCAACCAGGTAACTGCTCACTCCGCCTCCCCCCCCAACCAGGTAACTGCTCACTCCCCTCCGCTCCCTCTCCGCAACCAGGTAACTGCTCACTCCCTCCCCTCCGCAACCAGGTAACTGCTCACTCCCCCTCCGCTCCCCTCCCCCCCAACCAGGTAACTGCTCACTCCCCTCCCTCCCCTCCTCCGCAACCAGGTAACTGCTCACTCCTCCCCTCCCAACCAGTAACTGCTCACTCCCCCCCCAACCAGGTAATGCTCACTCCCCTCCGCTCCCCTCCGCAACCAGGTAACTGCTCACTCCCCTCCCCTCCCCAACCAGGAAAATAATCGCCCGAGAAAATCTGCTCCTAAGGTGTCGTCACCCTTACTGCGTATGCATTCCGTGAGACTC